TAGCAACCCCACAGAAGGAAGAAAGACTGCATCATCTATGATACCTGTTAGTCTGAGTAGGTGGTCTTGCAGGTGCAAAGCAGTGTGCTCTTTTTCTAGGGTAATCATAGTTGATCAGATCAGAGAATGAAGTAGCTGGTTAATTCACTTAGTTCAAATTAAAATGGAAAAGTTTTTATAAACCCTTTTATAAATGATTCTGCTTTAGGGACAATTAAAGCAAGGTGATAGCGATTTGAGTGTGAGTCAACTGAATTCACTAGCACAACTTCCAACTCTTACTAACATAGTAAAAACCAAAGTTTTTGACCTTGAAAACTTTGTAACTTTCAATTTCTCAGCAGAAGTGGGTTTTCTACCTTTTTGAGATTCTTCAGGAGGTAACTGGTACTATCTTGCTCATCCTCCCCTTCGTCAGGCAGCCTGTAGTAAATGCCAACTATGAGGTTTCCTTTCTTGGTTCAGCCTCCAGTTTTTGCCCATAAGTCTCTCAACCCAGTTGTCTTTATTTTTCAAAGACACCTTTGCATAATCAATCTATTTTTTACATGTTTAAGGACTGTATGAAGAAATTCCATGAATTATGTATACTAACCCATGGTGTTTTCAACCGGATCATGCCTTTGTTCCTCCCTTACCCTTGGGAAACTCATTACTCTGGGAATGGCTGTCAAACCTTATTTTTCTGCATATCATCACATGTGGTTTCCTATAAAATAAGAAGTAATTTAGTACTCCACCTTTCTTTAAGTATTAACTTCCTGCCATATTTTGCTAGGTTTTTATGGGTTTATAGATATGTAGATAGAGAGAGAGATTTCCTTGTTCTCCATAGTTCAGAAATGCATTGTTTTATGGCAGACTACAAAAACATCTTTTACCTGGAACAGAGCATAAAACAATCCTGAAGAGCTGTTACTTCTTGCACACAAATTAAGCTACTTTGGTGTGCAAATCCGGGCACATTTAAATGCTTATCACTTACATAGATCATTCACTTTGAACATTTATGAAGAACTAGAACAAAGTTATCCTGCCACAGGACACGTACAAAAGTGTTGTAAAAGAAAAAGTTGCTGATACTTGTAATTCAGTTTCTCCACTTCCTTTGACATCTTCAGTTGATTCCCAGAGTGCAGACAGCAACCTTTTAAAAACTGTATGATTGTGTAAATCCCTTGTCTCCACTCGCTGCTCTAACTGCTGACTCTGTGCCACTCACAGTTACCTTTTGTCTGCAAACGTAAGCCATGCATGGCTCACATCTTGTCTGCACTAGTCCAGCCTGCTCAGCTGGACTTAGAACCCACAGACTGAGTAGCAGCAAGTGTAGCAATTCAGACAAGTTTCGGAGTATGGAATTTGTTTGGTTTCCTGTTAGGAGTCCCTTGATGCCCTGAGGCTGCAGCAGCATCTTTGGAGAGCCCAAAGACAACAAAAAGAAGAATCAGTCAGGGCCTGGACTACCCATAATAGCTGAGGGCAAGGACAACCACCTTACACCTGGCCTCAACATGTACTGGGAAATAGTTGCAATCATCTAGGTTCACTGAAAGTTGTAGGATTTGGATTTTTACTCCAGTGTGGTTTAGACAGGGATCTTGAGCGAAACATTTGAAAGAAAAGAAAGAAAATACATGAAAGACAGGTAAGTGAATAGCTGATTATAGAAGATGGAAGTCAGAATCAGAAACTTGTGCCCATTTCTACCACAGTATTACCATATGAATTAAAATAAATCAGTTAATTTTTTAAAACTATTCAGCATTAGCATCGCTGCACCTGCTTTAGTCATATATGGCCCTCAAATGCTACATGCAAAATTTTTTCTTTTGAACAATCTGAGACACAGAGAAGGGAAGAGAGAAGAGAAACTGAAATCAGAGGCCAGGTAGCACTCTTGGGAGAACAGCAGTTCCCTTTGGTAATAGCAGTTGCAAGACTATGCACGCCCTAGAGAGCTGAACACAAAATATTTTAAATTATTTCAACAGGATTATCTGAAGATAAGGTTGCTTAAATTGTCTAAGCTCTCTTCATCAGTCTTAAGGAAACTTTCCTGTCCAACAATCCAGGAGCCATTCTGGCAGTCGCACTTGTGTTAGAAATAAAACAACTTTTCTAATTTTTTTTTTAATTAATGGTAGCAGGTGGCCAAGTTTCTTTTCACAGACTCTTTTCAGCTTGATCTTTAAACCACCAAGCTTTTGAGGTCCTCTGGACTAACTCTGGTAAGTTGCAACAAACAAAGCCTGAGGGAGTTAAAGATTAGACATCTGGGATCTTAAATTTATGGTCCTTCAAAAACATGGTGGAATAACCAGAAGATACAGAGGAGATTACAATGACATTACAGCCTGAGAACTGGAGAATGCGTGTCTGAGGAAGAACTATAAGAGGACCAAATTAGCATTAAGGGTGAGAGATCAACAGCCAATAATGATAGAATACTAATTGCTGAAGAAAACTGTGTAACTTAGAATCAATGAACATTAATTTCTGTGTTTGCTAAATGTATAAATTCATGAAAAGTCTTGAAAGGGACTTCCAAGCTAGAAAGCTAGAATGATTTTCTACATATCTCTGGCCAGAATAAAGTAATGCCCAGTTCACTAAAACTTAAAAGGTAGTGTTGGAGGGTTTCATTTCTTCCTGACTACTTTCAGTAACACGCACCACCAGAGATTTTAACTGCTGGGACTGAAGCCCCTTCACAATGAGCAGTTCCTGTGAGATGACAACTACCCTGCTTGACTCCCTACAAAACCCACATTCACAGCACAGTAACACAGAAATAGCCAGAGCTGGTGCCTCCAAGAAGGGACCCCAAAAAAAGGACCCCTTGGGCTTTTTTATACCCTCTCAATCTAAGTGCACAAAAGTTTCAGCTCTTCCTGCTGAGCCCTGGGTTCCTGCTGCCTCTGAGTGTTCATTCACCTGGCTGGGCCACAGAACCCTATGCCCTTTGTCATGCAAAGGGTCGGTGCCAGGTCACAACCTCTTGCCCCCCCCCTCCCATCCCCCGAGCACAACCTACAGCTCCAGTGCTGCTGCACACTGAGCTACTGGTACTGAATGTATTTCTCAACACCAAGAACACCAATCACTAAAATATTTGTTGGGTTTTTTTTTTCCTCCATTATCCAACAGTCTTCCAAAGTATGTGTCTGTGTACATTTAAACTCATTTAATTGTGGAATACAGACATTCTTTTATGATAAGTTTTTTATGAAAGATGAAATTCTCAAAAAGTATGTCAGTGGACCTTGCATGATATATATAAAAGACTGAAAGGGTTGCATTAAATCCACCAGGTGCAGACAGTGACAGAATAATCAAGAAAAGTTACATGAACTTCCCTTTCTCTAAACTACCACAAAACAGAGCCACAAAACATTTCCCAGATCCTCATGATAAATGTTCTCTGTCTAAAACCAAAAGCCACAACTGCAACATAGTAAAGACTACCTCAAGGGCACGACTTCATCTTCTACATCCTGCTAAAAGAAGAAAATTTATCAAGTAAAATGTCATAGTGTTCCAAAGTAGTTCATGTCCTGCAGAACACCACACTTGAAATAAAGTTAGGATATGAGAAGGACAGGTTAGTCTGCAGGCTATTTTTTGTATACATCTTGTTTCCACTAGGCTTGAATTAAAATGCAGTGAGAAAAGACACATTGCTCCTACAAGACAAGGTGCATCTTAACGAGACTGAAAAACGTGCCACAGTAAACGCACAGACTGGGAGACAACTTTCCTGCCATAACATGGAGTTTCAAATGAGGTGGCTACTTAAACATAAGTTTAGGAAATTAAAATTAACTATTAGGACCCCATATCTGGTTCCAACAAAGAAGCCCAGCCACTGGGGAAAACTTTGCAGAGAAGCTGCACCTTACATAACTCCATTGTACACGTACATTTTGAGTAGAAATTTTGGAGAAAAATATTTCACCTTCCTGCCTATTAGGTAATACCTAAATACCTATATCTCTACAGTATCCAAGCATCTCCAATTAGGAAAGAACCTCAAAAACAAAAATGTAGAAATCAATCAAACTATGCAGTTCAACTCAGAAAAGATATTAAAAAAAAAAAAAAAGAAAAAAGTAAGAACTCATGAGGAACAAAGGAATTCCTACCTTATTACAAACAAACATTCAAAGTCATGGCAGGCTGAAAGGCATTTGAGACAAGAATATTTGTAAACCTTATGTGGAAAAAATATACAGAGGTCACTCAGCAAATACAACAGGTGTCCAAATCCTTCAGAGTGAGTAGCTGTGAAGCATCAATTATAAAGAAAAATTATAACATTAAGTTGCTGTTTCTCCTATTCCAGCTTAAGTAAATAAATGCTAAGGACATAAAGGATACATCCTTGCAGATATCAAGAAAGTTTGGTCACCCAGATGAAGGCACAATTTGAAATAGATCTAAAAAAGAAATTTTGAGCCATGCTTCCTTAGACAGAAGTCTCACAATGAAAAGTTTAATTTCTACTGCTGTGCAACACCAGCCTGACATGGACTCAGGTACCATGATGCCACTGTCAGGTACCCTGATGCAATAAAAGAAACTATGCAATATACTATTACATTGACCCTCTTGCTTACTTTTTATTGAAATAAGGAAAAATATACGAAGACAAGCATTTATAAGAAAAACTGTGAAAAACAGGTGTGAAAAACTAATATTTATTAAAAGAGAAACACATTAAAAACGTATCAAGAATCATCCTCATCTACAAGCCTTTACATTCTTTCATAAGACAAATTTCCTGTCTCTGGTTTTCAAATACAGAATCAGCACATTCAACTCAGTGTAAAAGCCACAAAAGTAAACAATGTTTGTTTGTCATTGTTTTGCCTTCATATTTTCCAACTGCATAATTCAGTCCTTTTCTCTGATCTTTATGCTAAGTAAGGTGAAATTCCATCCCACAGCACTACAGTACCCAACATTGTTTTATTTATTCACACTGTGAATAAATTTATTCACAAGGTGAGGTGTGCCTACCTTGACTACTGATGTTTCTAAAATATACAAGACACGCAAATTCCTCTAACAAAGGCCTGGTTGAATTGCCCACTGAAGTGACGGCAGAAAATATGTAATTTAAATCCTTCAAAGGAGCCTTTCTTCCTCTTATACACAAAGAGAAAGGTGAGACTTATGGTACTTTCATCATCTCATGATGATCAAACTGTAGGAAGAAGCACTACAATCCCACAATGTGTTTTTTAATTGTTAGATATAAAAAAAGCAAACATTTATTTCCTCAAAAACAAATTGTTTATGAAAATAAACAACATCGATTTTCTGTACTCAATATCGATTTTCTGGTAGACTAAAAGCCATTAAAATCCTTGAGAAGGGTAGGAAGGAAATAGCACAAATCTTTGAAATCGTGAATGGAGAAAATAGAAAGCAAGTCATGACTGTTTGGTCTTCAAAGTATGCAGGCATTAGGCAGTAACAAGTTGAAAGTAAAAGGACACATCTCTCTCAGTGTGTGTGTATCTGTGGAGTTACTTCCAAGATGATGTAAATTGTAAAAGCTCATGAAAGGAGGTTCAAAAAGCAAGAGAGGTAAAAGTACAGAAGGAATCAGTGTTTCCTCAAACACTAACACACCTTTGATAAAAAGAGGTGCATCGCTCGGTGGAGTTTGGAAGATTATTCTCCAGATGTTGGAATTGTTTGAATAGACCACCCTAATCATCTGGCATCAGCCACTGTAAATTGAGATACTGGGCTAGGTGATTCCTTACTCTTCCCCACACAAGGAAGCAACATCCATGTTGTACAGTACATCCCTTGAGTTTTCATCAGAGCACGTTATCTGGAATGAATTTTCAGTGTCACATGTACTACTCCCTTGACAAGAAGATAACTTCCAGCTATTCATTTTCAGTGTTCTGTCCTGAACCTCATGGCTTTTGTACACTGCAGCCTCTCTGCATCCTCAGCTCTGGAAGCTGCTCATGTATCAGACATATTGATGACCTTCTTCAACCTCCTCCTTTGCAGAGCCAAGTTCAGGGTTTTGAAGAGAGTGTCCTTGCTGTTCACAACATTGTAGCGATTCACTTCCACCAGCCTGCTGAAATCATAGGGCTCAAAGGTGAAATTTAGTGTACGGTAAGGAGAATCCTTTGACTCAATGATGAAGTCACCAAAGGATTTCTCTTCTTCTGACTCACGTTCAACTCCTGCAATAAGAAAGGAAAAAAAAAAATCACAAAAAATCCCCCAGCCATGGTAGACTCATTTTAGTTCAGTTCTGATAGGAGTACATCACAGATAATTCTACTGAACCTTAACTTTCCCCAAAGCTCCTCTGCAGAGACTTCAGTTCCTTCCAAAATATCTGCAAGCTGAAGGTAAAGTGCTATTAACCTATTTCCACTAGGCTCCAAAATACAGTACTAAAAGACATTTTCATTGTGATAAATTGTTTAGTTCATCTACAATGATCATGCTTAAAATAGGAAATATAAAGCTCTATTCTTCCTGGAAATACTGTTCTACACTAAAACAAAAGACATACCATGAGTTCAACTTCCCTTAGGATGCTAGTATAAACTCTTCAAAATATGGTAAGTTGTTTTTTTAGCACCCTGCCTCTTGAATTTAAATGCCATCTTGAAAGGTGAACATTAAAGTAGTTTGCTAAAAACGCTTTGCTTATTGCTGTTAGAGAAATAACAGTCTTGAGTCACATTCAAGCCTAACACTTTGAAACCCTTCATCGGTGATGAGGAAATGTAGCCAGGTCCTGGCAATCATTATGGCATTAATACAGACAGTATTAACAGTGTGCCTTATACCCCCTTGCCTGCACCGGTCCTGCATGTTCTTTCCTATGTATTCCAACAGTTTTTTTCAGGATGCTGTTTTTTCCCACATAGGAGAAAAAGGACATTAATTTTTTTGTCTGTCTCTTTTTAAAGGTAAATAGCTCCACATTTCATCCCAATGTTCTTGCCTGATAGACTTTACAGCCTATATGAATCACATCAAATGAAGAAGGATCATTTATCACTTGATCTCACACTACAAGGGCACAGGTCACTTAACATGAGTTACATGATCTGATATACAAATTGGTCCCCAATACCTTGGTGCTTAGTGGTTTATTCCTATTCAATAAACAAATGAACTCCTTACTTAATCTGATTATTAGTTCCTTCCTATATATTCAGAGTAACTAGAAGTAACAAAATCAGACATCAGGGCAGAAAGGTTCAGAAAGAAGCAAAAGTTTAGCCTAATTTTGATTCTTCCAGCCCTTAGATATTATTTTTTTGTCAGCCTCTTCTCCCACTCTCCCTTCCAAAAACCAGTGGAAACTCATTCTGCCTTAAAGATAAATAACAATTTAATAACTACAGGGTCATACTAAGATGAATGAAAAGAGGAACACTGAGCCCACTGAATTTTCTCCATCAACACATTCAAAGGAGCTCTTTAAGATATACCTCCCTTACCTGGAGCCTTGTATTTCTGGAAGGTGTCATTTACTAATGGGAAATGGACTACAATTGGAGCCTTTGGATTATTATCATCCACAAACACGTAACATTCCTTTGGCTTCTTTTCATCTTCATCACTAAATTTGATTTTTGGAAAAGGAATGTCCCGCTCCTCACAATATTTCTGAGTCAGTTCCAAAACCTGTTGTCAAAGAATAAAAAAATAATTGCAGTAGAATACCAGCTACTCCTCTAAGATCATCTAACTACAATCCTCCAATTGATCTTTAAGGTCCCTTCTAACCCAGGTTATTCTATGATTCAATGAAAGACCTAAGGAATTATTTTAATTTACTTGTTAATCAGAGTGTGTATTCAACATCAACTGATCTGCTGCCATTTTGAATATGATTCTGTGCTTTTATGTTCGTGTAATAATGTTCTGCTACATCTCTCACCCTCTCACCTCAAATGGAGCTTCCCAGGAAAAATTGAATGACAAGATAACATCCACATCCCTCTCTGGCTGAAGTACCAAAGGAAAGGGAGAGTTGATAGAAAAGCCACCATCCACTAAATACAAGCTCTCTTCCATGGGGGTCAGCTGGTTGGGAAATGCATCCAGATGAGTACCTGTAAGACACTCCAAGTAACACAAGTGGCTATATTGGTTCATTACACATCTCTCAGTAAAAGCAACAAAACTTATGCTGGTGTTATAAGAAGAAAAAAGACATTCTAACATGCACCTACATCTGAGATGGACCTATGAATTCTCATGATAAGCTTGCCTTATAGGACAAAACAAACACAATGGATCAAATTTTTTGCTATGGTGTAAGAAAGGGTATCCTCCCTGACTTCAGCGGAACAAAGTCAAGCTCACTTATGTTCTGTGACATAGACGAAGTATAAACACACTATTTAATGTCCCAGATACATATAGACTCATTTACCTCTCCAAGTCACAAACTTCTTGATGTTAACATAATCTTTATGAAGATACAATCCCTTCATGAAGTTGAAGGTTTCTCCACATGTGACTCGGGACTTGAAGAAATCTTGAAAAATTTGTATCAAGGGGCCCCCAGGTATAACCAAGCGAGTCTTCAGTCGTGCTGGGTCTCGGAAATGGAATCTTCGGCAGTCATCTGCAGAAGTCACAGAAGGATGCAGAAAACAAACCAAATGCTTGTCCAGCTCCAATATTTCAATCAGACCTTTTTCTATAATATTTAACCAGCTGTCCTATGGCTGAATTTGTCATCCAATAAGAGTATTGTAATGAAATGTAAATGAGCTGCATGTGCATCTCATAGTCAGATGATTTACTTGCCCTGTTTAACAGGAATAGCATTACTCATAAATCATTGTCCATATTAATTTCTACCAACACAAAGAAACCCTTGTTACCAAGTGACAACCACTTCTGTCACATAAGACAACATCACTCAAGCGCAGACAGTAGCATTTGTAGTTACACAACAACAAAAAGGGTGCGGGGGGGGGGGGCAACTAGGGTTGTAGAGGCAGAGAAGAAAAAAATCTCTTCTTCCACTAGTTACTATAAGGCTATAACTATGCATAGGAATAACTTTCAGCCTTTAAAACACTTTCTTTTCACTGCTACGGGGGCAACGTATAACGGAGATCAGTGCCAAAACGTATAAACAGCTTATCAAAAATTATAAAAAGTAGGACAAGGGGGAAACTGAAAGCCTTTTTTTCACCTCTTGCTTAGCAGTCCAGTTCCTATTCTTCCTCTTCTCATGATTCCAACTCCAGCACTGTAATATGTCTTTAAGACAGCTCCCAGAACTAGCCCAATTTTATAGTCAAAGTAAGATACAATTTTTTTTTAAAAGACAAAACAGAAAGTGTATTAAAAAGAAAAGTAGTTCCTCTCTTCACCATATGTTTTAACAAAGGGAATAACATATGGTAAAAGAGAGATCTGTCCAAATCCATCCTTAATGCTAACTCTTGAAAGCTACACACAGCACATTTTCGAGTCATATTATTGTGATGAGTCCAAAACGATCAATCTTTTGAAAAATCCAGCTATTTTCATGTATGCTCTTACCTACAACTTTGATAACATCTTTGAAAGAATCTAGAAAGCTCAGTCCTATACCAATCACCTTCAGGCAGATGTCATCCAAGCTTGCCGCAAAAGCACTGCCCCACATTCCTGCAGGAGACATGGAAGAATTTAGTACTCCAAAGGCTTTACACCTGTAACCAAAAGGTCTAGAATTGCATTGCCTTTTGTCACGGGAGAAGGCTGTCACTTGATCCCTACTATTCAAACAGGTGATGTTTGAGATAATCATGTGACAAATTCTGATGTAATAATATAATGCAGATATTTTTCCTAGAGAAAAACATGGAAAAGACAGCAAGGGAACAGAAAGACCCTACAGCAGACATTTTTGACAGGCAGCTCATAACAGAGTCATCTTGCAGACTCAGGACATCAGACTGTAATATTATGAACCAACACCTAAAACTCTGGAGAAAGATTTGACATTTTTTACTTCGAGTTCTTAAGCAAGGGACAAAAAGGCATGGACTTGAGCATGGTTCCTTTCCATCTCCTCATTTTAATCATTATCATGAGATCATACCTTGTAGAAAACAAATCCTGGGCTCTGGATGTTTCTGGACAAGCCGTCCCATGAAGAACTCACTGTCAAAGTCCTCTGTTCTGACAAAAGCTCCATACTTGCGAAATCCAACTTCATAGGGAGTGAACTCACACCATTCTAAGAACAAGTCAGCAGGATATTTACTCATCTCAGAAGAAACATCAGTGAAAATATTTATCTGGTATTGTTCACACAAGGGAGACAGAAGGGAGTTTCCCTTCCCTTTTCATGATGACTATGGATTTCCCTGCCCCTCTTCTCAGTAAGCCTCTATCTATCAGTAGCAAAAAAAATCATCTATTATTAACAAAAACTCTTGTACAGATTTTCATTCCATCTTGCTCCATCTTGAGTTGGCCACTACAGAAAGAAACTGCTTATTTTACTGTTACTTTAAACTATTTTGTTGGCTCCCTTTTCCATCCCAAACAGAAACTACTTAATTTTTCTCAGCTTTTCTTCACACTGCATACCATCTCTCTGAAACTACTACAGTACTAACTTGAAAACTCAACTGACCCACTGTGTCAGTCTTCATTGTCTGCCTATCAAAGTTTCCCCTTGTGCCTGAAAGATTTCCACAAATAGCTGAAAGGTAACCAGAAAGATCAAGTCCAACTCTCAGCCCTGCACCAAACAATCCAAAAAAACACAGCATGTGTCTGCAAGCATTACGCAAATGTTTCTTGAACTTTGGCAGTCTTGATCAAATCCAATTAATTCGCAAATTCATATGACATCAAATTCATTCAAACTCCTCCAGAATAAAATAAACAAAGAAAAAAGTCCCCTAGAGGTACGCAGATGGACACAAACATTTGTGTTCCTGTCTCTTTTATCTATCCCCACTTGTTGCATCACATTTCAAGTTTCAATGAAGGACTGGCTGTCATTTTTTTACTGTAAGAACTGAAGCTTCTAAAATCCACAATTTTGATGATGCAAACTACAAGGTGGGCCAATCCATTGTTTTACATGAATCCTACAAAAATTATTTATTTATCTGAGACCATAAAAGAAAGTGGCCACCTAATTACCAAGGACTCAAATTCTCTCATTCAGACGTGGAAATGTATTATAGGAATCTTCTCAGCTCCTGAAAATTTCAGGCAATTTCTAGCAAAACGTGTGGACTGGTCAACAATGTTGAATGTCATTTCTCCATTTTAGCCATGATGAAGACATTTGCTATCAGGATGATAACACTCTGCCAATCAGTATCCTGTCGCCTCTTGCACTACCACCTGCTGCTTGAGCCACATTTCCTGTTGCCAGCTGCTCACTGCCCAAGGAACTGGATAGGTGAAAGAAATTTATGGATTTTAGCAAACAAAAATAAATTTCTATATACCTGCAAAGTCACCACTGCTCATATTGGGTCTCACATTGACAGCTGCATAGATAGGGTAAGGGTTCTGGGCCCATTTCACTGCTTCTTGCTGATCAGACAGCTTTGATGGGTCTTCCTGGTCACAAGCAGGGAAGGAGAAGCACACTTAGGCTCTGTAGCCATACTTTGATAATTGGAAGCTGTTGCTTAGCACTTCTGATTAACAAAACTACTAATTCAAAGTCTCTTTTCATCCCACTGTCGAGACACACGGTTAGATTTGGCCAAAATATTTCTGCAGTTGCATACTTAGAATGTCTAGTGTTATTAATGAACTCGATATCCCTCTGATTTCCAATCTCAATTACACAGAAAATACTGCACAGTAATGCCATTCTGCAAAACTAATGTCATTCTCTCAGGTTTAACCTGCCCAGTACAAAAGCTATTAATTTAGTAACAGTCATTCCAGAAAACACTGTTTTTTTAATATAGCACTTGACACTAAACACCTGGGTAGGTAGAGGTCCCACCTGGAAGACAAAGAGCAGTACATATCCAAACATAAATCCTTTTACCTTCTGTTGTAGGAAAAATTCCACAATAAGGCCCCACAAATCTGTAAAGGAAACTTTCCGTCCACTACTCTCCATTGCATTCAGCTCCTCGAAATAATATTTCAGTCGTTCTGGGGAAAATGCCCCTGCTTTGCTGCTGGACACAGCACCCTGAGCTCTTTTGATTGCATCTTGAAGGTCTTTCTGTGACCAGTCAGGGTCTTGATACAGTGTCGATAAACACCTGAAAATGCTTACATTAATGTCATCAGTAACAAAGCCCCTTGTGTAAAGAATAATTTTAGCTAGTTATAATTAGTGATGCAGCTCTTGAGAAGTCTAGTTAAAAGACAAAACATCATGAAGAGTAGAGTCCATAAATAAAGGCTCTCTGAACTCTAAAATGTGCTGGAAACCCTGACACCTCCAGGACAACTTCATCCTGATTGATAACCTGCTCTCCAAGGATGTTCGAAGCATCGTTTGAAGGCACACATAAACCATTTCATAAACCTGTGCTAACTCCACACCATAACAGCCATGATAGACTGGTTGCCAGGAAGGGTGCTACTGTATGCAGCAATAGAGGCCATGGCCTTCCTCAGAACACAGGTCTGATTAAAGAAAAAACTAGTTTGGCTACATTTGTTTGGCAATGTCTCTGAGTCAAAAGAGACAGGCCAGATCACAATGTCAGTGGAAGAGAACCAGGTACATAGGAGTTAATTTAACATACAAAGGTCTGGAAGGGAGGGTTACACTGTCAGGTTGCACAACTCCCCAGTGAAATTATTTCACAAAAACAACTACGTAAAAGGGATGACTTCATCACAAACTTCAAGAACTGAGTTACTGAAACGTTCTAGCCATGTCTAACATTTCAGCACACTGCTCCAGTCCACCAAAAGGCAAGAAAGTGCTACGCCTCTCTGCAGTCACTCACACCATTTTGGAAGGTGATGACATAGTGGCCCATGTGGACATATTGCCAATGACTTGCACCACGTCAGTTATCTTCTTGGCAAGAGTAGAGAAGGGAGGAAGTTTTTTTAAGCCAGTGCCATGAGCAGTTTTATTGATCTAATATGTTTTAATATCCAACTGTCAGACTTGCACAAGCATCAGATTCATATATTTAACCAGTATCTGCATGGATTGGACATGATAGTGAATCCCTTCAACTCCTATGGAGTCTCACGGGTGAAAACTGATAAAATATTTGATTTTGCTGCCTGACTACAGATGGCACAAATGCAGTTTTGGCTTTATGTTGCGCCAACACTAAGTTTCTGGAGTCAACACTGCATACAACTTACCAAGTAGAGCCAGAAATCCCACACAGATATATTGCAGCATCCAAAAGGCCCAGCTGCTGAAGTCCAGCAAGACTGCCATAGAATGATGTCAGTGCTCTCATTCCACCTCCAGACCCCAGTACTGCTACGACTGGAACCTGCAGACAGCAAACGCAGGAGTCACAACCATAGACTTTTGATCACCAGTAAATTACAGAACTAATCCCATTCAAGTCTCATTCGAATTTAAAAAAAAAAAAATTTAAAAAAAAAATATTTCTATTTACTTTTCAAGTAATTTCAGGTTCGATTTCAAGCAGAACTCCTTTCTCTATTTTGCAATTGAAATATATTGTTTACTGTAAAACATAGCAGGGTCACTTACTGAAACTGTTATGTATATTATCCCACATTTACTTTCATACAATAGATGTATAAGGACAAAAAAGGCTCATTATTTTTATAACAGCAGCCAAACATCGCCAAGCAAGGCATCAGGCTATGGGCTATGTAGACATAACAGTGTCCTCAAATAAGCAATTAGGAAGCTATTCCTGTGGTCTGAGCTTCAATTTAAACATTATGAAACAGACTTTCCAATCACAATTCCAAGCATAAAGCCCAAGATACCAGAGTTCAACAAAAGAAAGTACATACATTCTGAAATTTCAATGTTTTGCATTCAAAAACACACACACACAAACCCCTCAAAATTTAAGAAATATAACAACACTTGAGACTTAAGAACTAAAATATAGCAGGGAGGTATCTCACACCACAGTGAATGCAAAATATGTTTTCTGTTATAGGCAAGGATTCTTACACTCTCTAATTGTCAACCAAGCATAAAGGATTTTATCAATCTCACTACAGCACTGTGCTCAATACCTCATCTTTTGGAGGGGCTTCTCTTAAGTGAAGAGTCTTTCTCAGTGCCTCAGAAACTACTTTCTTCCTTTTGTCCAAAAATTCTCTCTCCTCTTTACAGAGGTCAAAACCCAGACGTATATCAAGATCCCAAGTGCTGAAATAGAAGTCAAGAGAAAAAAACACCCACATTTTGGAGAATTTGTAATCTGCATGGAAAACAAATTTTTGTGAACAGAAAATCTGGGTGCTTATATGAATTACTGGATCAAACCATTAAATTAAATTTTAGTGTATACACCAGCTATTTTGTAGAACAGCTTTTAGAACTTCTCCAGATTATACTTCTCCCTCAATGTTTAAATTCAAAATTTGCCTCAAACAGTATTCAGATTAAGCTTCAGGAATTTCACAAAGGAAGAAAATATTCTCGGTCAGTGAAGAAGATTGTATGAGGAGCAACTGACATCACTGTATTGACATGAATGGTGAAATGAGGAGAAAAGCAATTTTAAAACAGAAGTTTCTGAACTTAAAAGGCAGAAGGGGGCAACTGAATATCAATTAACTTGCTATGAGTTCAGAAAAGGGGAGTAGGATCTTCAGATGACTTCATATTAAGTGACCTTGTCAACTTACTAGTCAACTGCTTGGTTTTCAGTTATTCTTTTCTTTTTACTCCTTTCTTGCACCCTGGATCTCTTTTATAGTTCAAGCTCTTCACACACAGAGGTGCCCTTTCCTATTTGTCAGTACAGCACTGAACATATTTTGGGAAATATCGGTACCTAACAAAACTACTTAATATTTACATCATCAGCTATTTTACATTTAAGTATTAGGAACACAAAATCTGTATAGCACTCACTAGGACTGACACCAGTCCAGTAGATAGTATTTGGAAATTGAAGAGTCAGAGCCTTAAGAAGAAAAATAATCAAAGATATTTTCTTTTATTCTATCCCGAAAGATCAGTGGAGAGAACAGACTTTGCCAGAACTTCAAGGAGAGTCACTCAGTTCCTTTACTACATGACTAAAGGCCCTTACTACACGAATAAAGGCCCTTCCTCATTTTTAAAGGACTTTGAGGTTCCCACTCACCTCTCTTCAGTTTTCAAAGTCATATCCAAACTTTGTCCCTGTGAAAAGAGAGAACACATCTTGCAATTGATAGTAATTACACAGGTGGAACTACTAAATAATAGAGGTTATGACATCAACAGAATCACCAGATACTAACCAGAACAGTACTCTCACCCATAAAATGACATCTCTGGAGCACCTTTCCCTTGCATCTATTTCAGACATATTTAATAGTCTCCACAGAAAGCAAAAACATAGAGAGCAGTGTGAAAAAAATTATTTCTTCTGCAAGTGTCTTTCTTTTCTCCTCCTCTGATAATTTTCTTTCACACTCTGACAGACTTTTTTGCTCTGGAAACTGATGAGCTTCATACTTACTTTGCAAGGTGCCATTGTGAAAATATTTTTAGGAGAATTTCACTGAGTAATCTCATTATTCCATTCTAGATATCCAATAAAACAGCACACCTGAGAATCACATCTAGCCTAACTTTCCAAATGCCTCAAGGCATTGGAGGAAAAAGTCATCCCATGCATGTTAAAACAAATGCAAAGTATTGACATTACCTTTCCCAAAGAAATGATTCTATCAACTTTTTCTCCAACAGGAAGGGAATTAACCGGTACAGTTCCCAATCCCAGAACTGTGGTATGCTTTTCAACCTCAGGGTTCACGCCATCCTAATAAAAACCAACATTTTAATTGAGCTCTGCAGAAAAAAAGTTAAAGATACGACTTTCATATGTCAAAACAGCAAACAATTCTTAATATCACTATAGCTAAATCTTTCCCAAAAGTCTAAGGCTCTTCAAGAGCATCCTGGTTTCTGCTTGACAGATCTTTGTCAGGATATTTCTTTCATTCAAAGGGGGAGTTTGTTGGTTGGTTGTTTAGGGGGTTTTATTTATTAGTTGTTTTTTTTTCTTTTTTAATATACCTGTCTGCCACAAGCAAAAAATCTTCACTTTCAAGTACAAAACTTCCCACAAAAATAGTTGTGTTCTGAAATGTGTCAGAAAGCTCACCAGTGAACTTGCAATCTCTCTTCAAAGCAGAATTTGGAAAAGATACCAACAAAGCAACATCATGAGACATACATTAAAAAAATACCACAAAATAAGAAATAAGATAGTTGCCCTAGGGACAAGTGGTAGCATGTAATTTAAAAAACCTAATCAATTTTAAAAGCAGAGAAAATTAAAGTTTGCCAGGAAATCCTTCAGTTTTCTCCCATGCAGCAACAAGCTCTCTTAATATTGAGCTGTGTGCAGATTCCTAACCTTAAAAGACAAATATTAAAAAAAACTCATATCAGAGGGTCACATTCAAACCTACACCGCCTACCAGGTGGGATGGAGCCCATACATCAACCACAGTGCTCAACCCTTGGGAGGAGACAGTATCTTGAAGGAACAACAGGTTGTCACCTTTCTCACATCAAGAACCCAAGTCAGACAAGGAACTACTCATAGATTTCACAGATGTTTCCTGACCAATATCAGCTGTCCTGAGTCCCATATCTGACTAAGCTCACTGTCCTCCTCCTCCTAACAGGGGAAAATAACATGCATTTAGGTACAGGGCAAGCAACTCTACCACATTCCTGGCACTCTCCCACCTCTGATAAGAGAAGAAAGGTCAGATTTCCATGCTCTGTGCCAGCTGTTGAGGGACCATGTTCTGCTAGATACCAGGGGAGTTGGATTGAGGTTTACCACCTGGTCCAATCTCCACGGTTGAGTTCTACTGAGTTTTTGCTTGCCTGGCTCTGAGTTTTTGACCACTTTAGTCCAGGTCTCTCTCTTCAGCTCATGTTTGCTGTCTAAATAACACCATGGCAAAGCTATTCTTCCATATACTTTCTTGTGTCCTCTTCTCTATAGTTGCCTCTAGAGCAGCCAAGATCACCATTTGCAATCACGCTGCCCAAATGCTTGTGGGCATAAAAAACATCATAGAAGAAAGAGTTTCCTTGCTCTCATTTTTGGTGGCAACAGCCATCACAATGAATATTCAGCCACTCTGACAGGATGCACACACTGCAAAGTAATAGAAAAAGCTAAATAAACCTTTACAAGTGGCAAATGATCTGCCAGTTTTTAATAGAAATTAAGATACTCTATAGGATTTCCTATAGAGTATCTCAACAGATGAAAGTAAAGAGGACTTCATGTGGCAAGCATGTACAGAGTTAAATTTTTTTATCCCCGAGTTTGAAGAGGTTTTAAATGGTTGTGGAGTATATATTTTTAAGACAATTTCACCTCCTTACGTAGAGTCAAAGATACAATGCAAAGTCTGACATTTTTTAAACAAAAAAAATAGTACTGTGTAAAAAACAATGATAGATAAAAACTTATCTCTCTGCCCATAAATTCCTAATATCTTCCCAGGAAAAAAAAATACATTAATTCAAGGCAGCAAAATTTTCTAGCCTAGAAAATTTTGGTCTGAGCAGCTACAATATTACAGAGTTGCATCCAAAAGGTACATGTGGAAGTGACTGGTAGCCTTTTAATAGTTGGTCCCTAGCACCACACAAACATTTTACTTCAGAAGAGACTTCCTTTAATGCAAGCTTTTGACATCCACAGGTACCTGAATAAAAACCAAAAACTGACAACCCTAAACATCTAAAGAAGTCTCTGACCTTCTTATGATCAAATCAAGGCCATTCAATTTATATTTAAGGACATTTTCATGGAAATGAAGGCGCCACTTTCCGAGTGAATTTATTCAAAAGTGGGCTGTAAACTTCACAGCAGTCAGCATGGATGCTTACCTGTAGGACAGATATGGTTTGCTCCAGCTGCACTTGCAGTTCTGGACACATTTCTTTATCCACATGAAAAACAAATGAGGTTCCATAATCCTTCTCATTATCTGGTGTCCAAGGAATACACAACTGCTTTTGATATGCGCCTGGGACAGACACCTTAACTTCACAGCACCCTGTGCATTAGAAAAAAAATTTAGACCACAGGAGTCATTTAAATAAATGTTGAAAATCAGGTACTTGTTAAGTGTAGCTGAGACTATGAAAACGCAAGCAAAAACTCTACTGTGTCGTACCCAGTAGAAGTGACCCCATACTATTAAGTATTAAAAATAAAAGCAAAATTGACTTAAAAGGTAAATTTGTAGTCAGTAGATTAAAATGCACTGTAGAGACAGAGAATCAAGTCTCCCCTCTCCCCTAAGGAATAAACATGTTGAAATGTATTGCTGTCTTCAACTCTACAGGCAGCCCTACCTTGCTGTTTCTCTTTTGAGTTTTCCTCTTTGTTAACAGTGCCTTGCAGAGTCAAGCAAGGATGAACCTATGTAAAGAAGAAACCAGCTCTGGTTATACAATTTTTAGTTCACTTCTTTGTTGAAGTTTAATCCACTTACTATATTAGGTGTAGGTTTACAGATGTAAGGTGTCAAAAAAAAAACCTCACTAAAGATTGTTTTGCTATTTCAAATAAAGACTAAGTTTTGTTTCAATAGGATAGGATTATTTGCGCTTCTTTCAAAATCAAAACCACCCTTCTTATTCCAGTTACTGGAGTTTTTTTGCAACCAATACCTCATAGTTACAAGTTGTCAACTCCTAGGGTTTTTCTGGGGTTTTTTACCTTTTTTTAACACGTGTGATTACCTATGCAGAACCTGCTCAGATCCAAGCAAGCACTTCATAAATTCTGCCATGACTTTCTCTCCCAGCTCATGTTCATGTTCATGTCCTCATAAAATTTAGTCTCTCACACAATTCAATCATCACCCCTCTAGGACAGTAGATGAGATACTTGGTGGGCCACAATTGCCCTAAAAGGTAAGAAACTTCTCCACTGCCTAAATATAAGACTAATTTGTGAAGCCAAATTGGAACACAAAAGCTTGTCTCCCGTGAAATAGTTTGCAGAACTGTGCTGTTAAATGCCACCAATTTTTCAGGAAAAAAAAAAGTTAAAACTCTACAACTCAACCACTATCCTTTTCTCCTTACAAAAATCATGACAACAGTCCCTTTTCTTTGGAGGGAGAAAAGAGGTAGTAACACCTGTATTTGTAACATATAACACACTGATTTTCTTAGATTGATTAACCCAAGAGAACAGGGAAGCATCACCTACTTAGTAACGGCATCAATAAAAGCTTAGATGTAATATATGTTAAGGTTAGGAGAGGGACTATACCTGGCCAGCATCTAGGCTAGAAAATACCATACCATCTTCAAGACTCACTTGCCTCCTAAAGACATTTTTTGTTTACATCTTTATAGCAGCCTTACTGGAAAAACAAACCAAAACCAACAACAAAAAACAAACCACACCTTTCTGTGAGTTAGTATGAAGTTTTAAAAATTGAGGAAGATTTTTAAATCAACAAATTGAAAAAAGAATCTGGAGAGAATAGGAGCTATTTGGAAACAGGAGTGGAACACTCAGTAATTCTTCCTACTAAAATCTTACCTTCAGGAGTAAATCACAACATATTTGATTCTGACTTCCATGTACTCACCACAAGGACTCCATTGGTCAGTACCTCTGTAGGGACATCTGAGCTGAGAAAGCAAGAGATTTAATGTAAATGAGTTCTGATTTTAATTTGCTTCATTCTACTTTGCAAACTAACTGTCTGGATAAGCAGTGGGGTAAAAAGGCCCTCACTGTGGGATATGTATGCAAACACCAAACATATGTCCCTTCACAGAACAATGGCAGTTGGGAAATAAAAAAATTTGTCTGCAACCATAAGCATGCGCTATAAGAAGTCCCCATCTCAGTTATTTTGATAACTTAGGGGGAAGTTGAGCTTAGATAGGCTATCAGATAGATTAAATGCTTATTTGTGTATTTTGCATGGTGAACTGTGAAAGCTTTCCACTCCTAAGTAACTAAGCCACAAAGTGTTCAGTTACTTCTCATGGAGTCTAGCAAAATTTATTTCTCTTCTGGTACCCCAAAAATTTTGGTGCCTGGAACATTAGGGATATTTGTGGTCAGCCTTCAATGAATCAACTCAAACGTCACAGGGAACTATAAAGCATTAGCCTTTCTATGGGCAAGACTGTCCCTGCACAGAAAAAGTAACAAAGCACAATTTCATTCAGCTCTTCAGGTAAGACTCACCATTTCTCCAAGTAAAACTCTACATCCAGCTCTTCATTAGCCTTTGAAAACAAAAGTTGGACACTGGTGACCCTTTATCTTGAATATATAATTCTGAGACATTTTTCCAAGAGATTGAGCTTTCTTCCTGTTACATACTTATAGTAACTTCCCATTAAAGTAACTGCTTTTATAAAGTTTTAGATAAATTTTGAAATGTTTAAATTTAGGCCTTTAGTTGTTCTTATTGTTCTTTAAACGTTCCTCTCCTCCTGGACATATTCTATATGACCAGACACATCTAAGTTTGAAGACACAAGTGCACACAAATGAGAGTTGGCTCTCAGATCCACTACTCTGACTCAAGTCCCACTGCAGTGCCACCTCTGCAAATACCTTCTACATGAGGCTTTGTGCTTCCTCCCATTATTATTATTATTTCAGCAGCTTGCACTCTTAGGTTATTGCTGTCTTTCTCTTCTACACACTTTGATCAATCCATCTTTTCTCCTACCATAGCGTACAGTAAATGTTTGATACCAGACATAGTGCAGCTTTTAAAATAACCAAGTAGAAGCCAACCTGGGTAATTTTCTTTACTAAAGTTGGAATTTTCAGTTCCATAATTATGGATCAAGATGACTTAAGCATTTAGCAAATGGGTAAAGTTAGTGGGAACAAGGAAGTTACTAAGCTTCTTTCCATGATCACAAATCATTTGGAATGCCTGTGCCACTGCCCAGTGCCTCCCTGCGAACTGCACACCAGTTAGCCTGTTTCTGACCACATCAACAGTATGGAAGCCCAGTTTCTCAAGAAAACACATCATTAGCTCACCTTTAATCCTGACCTATTGTAGCAATGTGTTTGTGGTATTTACAAAATAGATCAGATTGATGATGTGGCTTTATCTATGTAAAACAGGCTCTCTTTTTTTAAGTCCATAAACAGGTGCACATGGTTTGAGAGCAGCTGATACACACATCACCCTCGTGAAGCAGAGGTTAAAGGTATTGAACACAGTTCAGAGAAAATAAGCTTTTCTTAGACTTCTGACTTATTAGATATAGAGCTAACCTTTCCAGCGATAAACTTGTTTTCGGCAAACTGATGATGCCAAACGAAATAACACAGTCTGCAGTCCCCATAATGATTACTGCAAAAGCCTTTCATTTTAAAACCAGTTTATGTCCCTCTGAGTCTCATGAAAAATCAATTCCCTTTAAATGAAGATGTTTCAACATCTACAGAATGACAGCAGTAATCTCAAGTTTTATTTAGCTGGGGCATCCCAAAGGCTGTGGAAAACACATAAAACCACTGGAGATTTTAGAAATATCCCAGTTGACAGTAAAACCATATATGCTGTCATCGACTGTTGATTCATTTTTCTATTCTGGTTTCTACAACACAGGTAAATCAACCAGCACATACTGCCAGATATCTGTAATGATGAGCTGCAGCTATCACAGTTGAGACGGGGACTAACCTCAGGGTTCAACCTGAAAGTGCGCAGCAGGGGTCGACCCGGCTTCATGCCCCCTACATCGAAGACAATAGACGTGAGCTCATCACTGACAAGGACATCCTTATCATACAGTGTTAATTCCAGAATGTTCTAAAACCAAACAGAAACATACAGCCTAAGATCAAAAGACAGACACTTCCACAAACCTGGGTAGCTGTATACAATAGACACAAGTATATTAATCAATACTCTTCTCCTTTCCCATTCCTGAAGAAAACTCACTATTTTCAGCAGGGTTAAGAAAAGAAAGCTCCTAGTTGACAGCATGTAGCTAAAATATCTTCTGAGCTTCCCAACTAGAGAGAGGCTCCAGCTGAAACTATGTGACAGTACTCTCCACCCACTTCAGGCACAGATTTGCCTGAGGAAGCAATGGCAATTTCCACTCCTTCAGTATGATTCAGTTGAGGAAGTTAAAGGGACTGATCTCTTCCCACTCGGCACTGTCTCAGAGCTGGTAAATTCAAGAAAAACTAACTGAAATAGACAAAATGAGTACATATGGCACCCAAAAAAATGGCACTGCAGCAGCTAGTTTTCAAGGGGACGAGTCTGAACTTAAAATTATGCCAGTATAGTGTGGCAGAAGTAGCCAGACTGAGGCCTCATAAGCCTGAAGGGGAAGAAAAAGTTCACACACACTACAGCTTAGCTTTCAATTTTCTTACCATTTAAGCCAATGACCGTTCCACATTTGTCACCAACCATTGTGGAAAGGTACTCCAGTGAGAGGGATAGTTTCCTGTTAATAAGCACCTTATTCCAAAGCCTAGGATGTTATTCAAAGCAATAGTACCATACTAAAACTGACCTTCTAAAGTACAGTTTCCTTCCCTTTACCATTAATGGCCACTTTGAGAATGAATGCTGACAATCTGAAGACTTTGTTTAATTCTCTGCTAGATCCTGCACAGACAGCAGACATATGAACTGTCCCTATCTAAGAGTTTGAATTTTGGTTTTCTTCATCATAGGAACTGCAGGCAAAACTTGACTGCACGAACTAAGAGGCAGTGAGTAGAAATTTGGTTCCCATTATCCTAACTCAGACAACTACACTGTGAAAGTAGAAGCAAACATCAAATATAAACTTGTTTTATCAAGGAATATCCTTGAACTTTACCACGTAGTGCCATAACTTCCCCTTCCTCAGCTGCATCACAAGGATGTTTACAGAAAATTCTAGCTGCAATTTACATAAGAGTGCAGTTACAAACTGCTGTGGTTATCACTGGACATGCATAGTACAGCTTTTTGTACCACTGAAGACAACTGACACTTTGCAAGCACTACTGGTTTTGAGGGTAATAAAGAACCCTTGGTTTTGAACAAAGCATCAAAAGCAAGCCAGTACACAAATACAAATAGTCCAACCAGCTCCACAAAGTGCACTCCTTACCTTGACAGCACTATGGATTCGATACTGGAAAGTTTCATTCCATTCTGGGTTATCAGAGTTGTCAACAACCTGAGTTCGGGAGACTATGGGAGATGCAGTGGGCAGCTTTAGTTCCACATAGCAGTCTGCCTTGGACACTACAGCAGAGAGAGCAGAGACAGATGTCAGAACAACTTTAATCAAAACATAACCTTTTCCATGAACTCTTCATTTTCTAGATCTCATTGCATCATAGAAAAGTGCAAATTTAAGGCTGGACTTCTAAAGCAAAAGCCTTTAATGAAGTACATGTTCTTAAACTGCAGCAAATTGAATATTAGGTACCTATATTTCTTTTTCTGGTCATCCAACTCATAAAGCCTTTAATAAAAGAGACCACTATTTTAAATGAGGATGATCAAATTTTGAAAATAGGTTACTGCTGATACCAGGCTCATTGCCTCTTGTCACTAAGCATCACTGAAAGAGTCTGGCTCCATCCTCTTAATGCCTTCCCTTCAAATACTTGTACATATGAGTACAAGTCCTCTGAGTCCTCCACTGTGTCACTAAGTAGTCCCAGATCTTTCAGCTTTTCCTCATTTAAGAGATACTCCAGTCTTTTTACCACTGATCACCATCCTCTGAGTTTTCAGTCCAGCTCCCTGCCTGCTCATCCAGCCCATGCTTCATCAGTTTCTCTAGGAGTATCTTACAGAAGGCAGTGTCAAAAGCCTCACTAAAGTCCAAGCAGAAAAACATCCACCACTGCTATATCCTCATTTAGTCTGGCCAGGAGCTGAGCTGTCTGTTTCCATTCCCTGAAAATAACTGATTGTCTTTGAGTCCTTCCTTCTTCCAGTTAGGGCCCCTTCTTCAATGCAATGCAAGTATGGGAACAGTTCCTCACTCCAGCTGGACAGGCCATGAAAAAGAACTCTTCACAGTGTGAATCTATCCCTCAGCCTCTCAGGAGGGTTTTCCATTCCTTGAACAGCTATTTAGCGTTCCAAGTAGTTCAGTGTTGGATGCCAGATATAAGCTTAAGGCAGACTACCTTACCGGATTAAATCTGAAGTAATTAAATCTCAAATGAGTTTTAAAGATCCAAATGCCTCAAACATCTCTGAGATGTTTACACGAATGTGTAAATGGAAGGAAATATATACCACTATCAAAACCAGAAACAGATAGAAAGCAACTTATCTTGGAATCAGTCAACCACCTACTTCCTTAAAGGTTTTAATGGCAAATAGCAGGTACATGAAATAAAACACTACTACAGCTGAGAAAATAAACATTTGGAAGCTAGAAATGAAGATTTCTATTTCAGGTTCATGAAGACTATTCAGCAGAAGCAAGGGTGAGACTTGCCATGACCAGAGGGCTGAATCCAGAGAAAGGAATACAGAATAGGCCACCGCAGGACAGGTGAAGGAGCAGGGAAGAAAAACATTATCAGGACTTGGTCTTATTCTGCACAGCAGCAGGCTTAATCTGCAGCTTGGCCTCACATCAAGATTTTAAAGTATACATAATGCTTTACAAGGGAAGCTTTTGTTCAGACATAAAGGCAATACAGTATGCGTCCTTAACAATGCTACCTGTGTTAGAGGTATGTAGTGAACAACCAACCTGTTTTCATAACACCTTGACTAAATACTTACACAGATCTGTACCCTTGATGTTTCTGGCTCGGAGGACTTTCACTGTTAGGTTGTAGTAAGGGTGCTTTTCCCACTGAAAAGAAAGGAACAAGCTAAGCATTTAACTCAATTGCAATGCCTGTTCTATAAACACACTAGCCTAAGTCCAGAGAAACAGATCAGACCAGGCAGCTCAAAATAAACTACTAATGAGTCAGTTTGGGAATCTCTGTAGCACTTTCAGTGTCCTGGAGGAAGACCAAAGGAGTCCAGAAGGAAACTCAATTCCCTTTCAGCAGCACGAGTGATGTTACAGTAACTCCTCATAGACTTCAGAAAATAAATCCCTTATTTAGGGTTTCCTCTAATTAAAGATCAGTTTTTAATTGCTTCCTTAGTACATTCTTGCTGAGGGATAAACAGATACTGAAGCTGCTGAAATAATTATGATCATGACTCGACTAGTTTAAGACTGCTTGCCGAGGGCACAGGCATGCTTGAGTAAAAGCAGACATGGCAAGAATCTTAACAGCATGGTCTCAAGACATAGAAGGCATATGCTATTTACAGTGAGAAAAAAACAACTAACACTTTCTTGCAGGAACACATACTTCATGGCAGTTTATTCCTTTTCATTCTGGACTGTTACTGATATTACCACTCTAAACATGCACGTGACTTTACCAACATAGATCAAAATGTAATTCGTGCTCTTCAAAGCTTCTGGGAGACTATTTTTGGAAAGTAATATTAGTTTTTAAATGCCAGCCTGTGAAGTGGGAAAAAAAGCCTGACTGGATTCTAGAAGATCATGACGGAAAAGTGGGGGGAGGGCAGGAGAAGACAACAGAAAACAGCATGGAGTGACTTAGTACAGAGATTGCACAAAATTAATTGTGTAGGGCTCAGGAACAGAATGGGCTTCTGCCTCATTTTCACCAATTATGACACAATCCTGGTCAGCTAGAAACTTTCTCTATTCTTAAATCACATTTTCAAAATGCTTTTCACAAGTGCTCAAAAGTTTACATTCATAATTTCCTACATGGTTGGTTTGAGACCAGAGTTTAACTTCTGATACACCAAGTATTCATCTCCAACTGAATTCAACAGGATCTTTACTTAAAAAAAAATGCTGCAGACTGACAAATGAGGCACTGAAACAGATTTCCCAGAGAAGCTGTGGATGGTCCATTCCTGGAAGTGTTCAAGGCCAGTCTGGATGGAGTTCTGAGCAGCCTGGTCTAGTGAAAGGTATCCCTGCCCATGGCAGGGCAGTTGGAACTAGATAATCTACAAGGTCCCTTCCAACCCAAACCATTCTATAATTCTATGAAATACTATAAAAATATATACATATCACTGCATACTACATATCACTAACAGGAATCTCAGGGAAGCCAGTGAACCTTGAACTGTTAAACTCTTCTTGAATATTCCTTATCTGATAAATGGAACTACACTATGTTTGTTAAGTAGTCATGCACATGGTGAGATTTCCTCATTCTTAATCACGTGGAGATACTTGCCAGCTTTTGCAAAACAGGGTTCGAACAACACAATAAAACCAAGGCATACTGAACATCTTTGTACTAAGCAAGTACCATCCACCCTGACCAACAAGCGAAGGGTAAAAATTACATGCATCATCTAAGACACCACACATGCAGGTGCCAAATTAAATCTGGACAAATGAACTGCAATTATACTATTATTTGCAGCACTGACATGTTGAAGATATTCATTCCTTTATTTGTTTCTGGGAACAAGACATGCCTTTACATCTAATTTCACCATGAGCTTCACCTTTGAGATGCTAGTTTTAATTCCTTTTTAAATCTTTCCTAATCACTTTTCTTTTATTCAGTCACTGACACTACTTTCGCTGGCAAAGCCTAACCTCCTTTCTACCTCAACAAGTTGGGAAATGCATTACAGAGAGAAATTCAAGGTGGTGTATGTCATTCTCACCAACTTCCTAAAGTTGCTGAAACTCTCCCGGTTTTACAGAAATGAAGCTACATAATCACACCCCCACAGCTATGAAAGCAATCTTCACTCACATAGCCTGGTTATCACCTGAAATTCACACACTGTTAGCAGAGGAAGCTCAGAACACCCTAAAGATAGCCTGTCTTTCTTTTATTGCACTCCATCTGTCAAAATGTAGCTACACGCTCCAAGAAAGTCTTTTCCAAAGGTCTCTAACCACCTTTGATTTGCAGTCAGTCATTACACAGCTGAGGATACATTTTCCACACCCAGATCGTAATTTAAGGGCATAGAACCCAAAAGACATTGCACTTTGCTCCCAAGCCTGTGCTACCAATTATGCCAGAACCTTCTCATATGCCTTTTGTAATTATCTTTCAGCCAAGGCATAGCAAGGTCATAGCATGTTGCCAGGTGAGCTTGCAAAGTAATGAAGCATGGGAGTATCAGATATGCTCTATCTGAATGATCAAGGAAAAGGCAGGCAGGAAATCTGTATGGGAAATGGACAAAAAATACAGACAACAGTTCTGCCTGTTCCAGTATACATGACAGCATACCAATGTATGTGACAGATGCAAGCAACTAATTTCTATTTTGCAGCTTAATGATTTTTCAGAATCACTGCTTTTCCAGAGCTTAGGAGAGTCCATCTGAAGAAAAAAAAGCCAACGCTTTAAATCCTAAAATGAGGGTACAAGACTGAATTTCCACATTCTTAACTTCACTAACAACTGTCTGTACCTTTCATCTAAACTGAAGGTGCTGATGCAGCAGCAAGCAAGTGTAAAATTAGTCATCCCCACCACAGAACCCAGTAGTCTTTACTCTCATATAGCCCAGAATAACTGTCTTTATACAGCAGGATGTAAGCACTGGGATCAACTCCACGTCTCAGTGCATGCCAGTTTCATTATAAAAATGTTGTCATATAAATAAAATAAAAATATATATTTTGTGTTCACAGTTACTGGGAAAATCAGGTAGCTCAAAGAAATGTCCAGTTTACCAATGGAGCACTTTCTCCCCATCTTGTTCCTGCTCCCAAACAAACATGCTGCCTTTCCTTGTGGCCAAAGTGCCACGAGTTTGCTTTTAAACCCATAAGCAAACACCTGGCTTTCCTAGGCACTCCTTGCAGTTTTCCTCCTCCCCCAGGAGTGTGCATCTGCAGTCATGAAAGGAGGCTTACAGATGCAGCCTTAAGAACCGTGGTCTTTTGGCAGGCAAGATTTAACACTTAGTCAGGTGATGAGTAGCGCTAGCACCTCAGTAACACAACAGCAGTAGCAAACACTGGGCTCACTCTCAGTTTATTATTAAATTATGTTTGCCTTTAGAACTAAAGCTAAAGTCTGGACAATTAAAGAGATCTGATCGTGTTAAATTCACCTACAGAGCCAAAAGGGTCATCTGCTGCCTCACTCCTTGCTCAATTGCTATCAGTTAGACAGTACAAAATCTCTTCCTACCAGTCAGTCCAACTTCACTAAGTAGTGTTAACCTTTTAAATTTTATTTGTATAGTGAGGACTAAAGGGGAAAAATCATATTCAGTGGTTTGCAGGTTAAAGGAGGCTAACACTAGTCTCTTCTACCTGATTTCTCAAGTACTAAATGACAACATTAAAAAGTCAACAAGATAATTTTTATCATGCAGCAAGCAGAAGTGCTAAAAGGCATGCAGGCAGCAAGTAATTTTGTGACATTTAATGGTCATGTCAAATTTAAGTTGTATATTGAGGGATTGATGTGAGACAACACGACACAGGCGATCAGATTAGAGACCAGATCTCCTAGTCAAAGGTTCCTTCACAAACATTCAATGTAATTCAAAATTGAGGTTATTGGTCAGACTATGTTACACAATGAAATGATTTCACACCACTCAAAGGACAAACACATCAAAACCACCTTATCTGTTGTGGTTGCACATTTTGAACAGGGACTGACATCATTATTATTTGTCTACTTGAGACCATTAATCCCTGTAGGATAAGATAGAGAGCATAATGGAAGGAAATTATAAATCAAGGATATTTTGTCAGAAAACATATAAGCATGGTTTTGTCTCTGCTAATGAGAAGTGCAGTATTCTGGACTGTCCGCCTAAAAAAGTATTTGCATCAGCTTGTGTTCCCCAAAAACTAAGGAAACACAGACCTGCTCTTCATTTCTTCATACAGACCCTAAATTTAAAAGCCTGGCATCTCCATTAGCATTATCATTTAGGGTAAATTTTAAATAACAACAAACTTTTTGATTCCTGTGGAAGTACAGAACTGGTTTTCCACACGTGCAGTAACAGGAAGTCACTACTGAACACATTGGCTAGAGAAAGCCATCTCAAAGACAGCACTACAATTCGTCTTACCCGCCAGTGATAAAACCCAGTCTCTTTCCTCTCCTTCTTTTGGAAAAGCACAGCTGCCAGGAAAGGCAGCACTCTGGGTGGAAGTGGGCTCCGCAGCACCTCATGGAACATGGGAAAAACGTTGTCTCTGCAGAAAATCTGATAGGGACACCCAGAAAAAAAAAAAAAAGAGAGTCCCCGGACGCCCGGCTGCGAAGCGCTGTTTGCTACAGACTGGTCTGAAGTTTTGCGCAGGACTGGGCTGCTCTCCAGCTGTGAGAAATGGAGGTGTGGCCCGCACTTGACAAACAAGCCAGTTCCAAACCTCGCTGGCAGGTTTTGCAAATACTGGTACAAGATAAGGGCAGCAAAGCAGCACCAAACAGGGAAACCTTGGGTAGGAGAAAGCACTGCTTTGTGATTAAGCCACAACCATCAAAACCCCCAGTCCAGATCTTCTTTGAGAGTTCCAGTCACCTTATCTATGACTTTGACTGTTTTAAATCCTTTTCAGAGTTTCAGCGTACCCTAACAGAGTCTTTTAAAATAGAAAGAAATTCCCATCTTACCAGCCTGAAGCAAAGCCAAATTTGTCACTGACTGTAGCTGTCCAGACAGGTTTCTGGGGGTCCAGAGCAAAGACACCACAATTTGGCTTGCAATAGGGTGCCCCCTTACTCCTCATTTACATATATCACAGTCTTGATTCTTCCACCAAACATTCTCAAAAAACTGTACAAGAGACAGGGCAGATTTTTTAGGAGTCTATCATGCTTTAAAAAGTATTTAAGCAGTAAAGGAAATTGTTTACTGGAAGTGATTAGTTTATTAACAGCTTCTGACAATTGGCTAGCTGGAGTTTTTTTATTAAAGAGTATAAACTAAAATTGAAGACCAAAAGAAAAACTTAAGTGTTTCAACAACTAAAAAGTGGCAGAAAATGTATGAAACCAGTAATGCAGCATGTCACTAGCTCCATACAAACATGAGAACGTGACACATTCTCAGCAAGGTCCCATTCATTAATCATTTCCTGTCATTAGTGTCAGTCACCACATCAGAATTTAAGAAAATTAATAAAAGTATAAGCACTGACGTTTAGAATACAAACAAGTCAGTGCTAGTTAGAGAATCCACAGAATTAACAGTTAACATAGAGGCAAAAAACAAACATCCATTCTGAAGCAGCCAGCAACTGCTGTAATGCTCTTGTGTGGTACCAAATGGGGTTGAAACTGGGCTAAAAAAGCTATTTCTTTGCTTTTCTGCCCTGAAGGTGAAGGAGTAGGAGAGCTTCAATCCTATGCAAACAGGCTGAGAAAATTGGGGTTGTTCAGCGTGGATAAGAGAAGGCTCCAATGAGACCCAATTTACAGTATTTAAAAAGGGCTTACTTATTTACAGGCCTTACAGTATTTAAATGAGGCTTATAAAAAAGAGGGAGAGTAACTTTTTACACTCGCAGGTAGTGATAGGACAAAGGGGAATGAAGTAAAAGAGGGCAGATTTAGATTAGATGTTGGGAAAAAGTTCTTTACGCAGAGGATGGCGAGGAACTGGAACAGGTTGCTTAGAAAAGTTGTGGATGCCCCCTCCTTGGAAGTGTTCAATGTCAAATTAGATGGGGCCCTGAACAAGCCGATCTAGTAGTGTGTGGCATCCCTCCTCACAGCAGGGGGGTTGGATCTAAAAGATCTTTAAGGTCCCTTCCAACCCAAACCATTCTATTACTACCAAACTAGGTTTTATTTATCTTCAAAAAATTGCAGAACAGTGTGACCTTTTTATAATTAATCTAATATAGTCTGACTATAAATTACAGGAAAATGGAGGTGGCCTCACATAGCACAGTAGTTAAGAAATCACATTTATTCTAAAGTTTATTACAGGCAGTATATAAAGCCTCTATCTTATCTTGTGAGTGCCCAACTGCATTTAAAATTAGGCTTACCTGCCCTCTGACATTCTTGCTCCTCTTCCAATGAAATCTCTCAGCACAGGGTCTAACGTTTATAGAATTTCTCTCTCAAGAAAAAAAACTGTTATGTTCTCTTTAGAAAATGTGCTTAAGGACTGTTTCATAGTCAACAACAGATCACCCATTAACAGTGCCTGTGTGCACTCTTAGCCATCTACAGACACTGCTGCCAGCGAACGTAATATCCAAAGAGAAACTACTTGTTTTTGTCATTTCCTAGCAAGAAAACAAGCAATCAAAAAGGCATCAAAAGATGAGGCAAAGAAAGCCTCATATTCAGTAATTTTACTTCTGCTTGGATTAACATGCCCACACTGGTAAAGGTAGATTTACATACATGTCATGGTTATTTTTTTTGTCAGCAAGCATGAAATGACACCATCATCAACTACACTACCTAGTATTTAAAATGTGTCCAGATATGACAAGGAGTCCCTTTTGGTCCCATTAGCAACACTAAAAGGAGAATTGAGTGCATAACTAGAAGAGATGAAAATCTGAAAGGATGCAATCAAGGATAGCATTTGATATGGGGTTTGGGTTTTTTTGACAGATTGGGCTTCTCCAGAAATATCAATACACTTACTTGTTTAATTTATTAATCAATGACCTGGATGAAGGGACAGAGTGCCTTCTCAGCAAGTTTGATGATAACACAAAGCTGGGAGGAGAGGCTGATATCCCAGAGTGCTGTGCAGCCCTTCAGAAGGACCTTGGTAGGGTGGAGAGATGGGCAGAGAAGAACTGAAATTCAACAAAGGCAAATGCAGGGTCCTGCACCTGGGGAAGAATAACCCTCTGCACCAGTGCAGGCTGGGATCTGACCTGCTTGAGAGCAGTGCTGTAGAGGACCTGGTAGTCTTGGTAGTCAAGCTGAGCCAGCAGTGTGTCCTTGTGGCCAAGAAGGCCAGTGGAATCCTGGGGGGTATTAGGAAGAACATTGCCAGGTGAGGTCACATTGGGACTGCTGTGTCCAGTTCTGGGCTCCCCAGTACAAGAGACAAGGAGTTTCTGGAGTAAGTCCAGTGGAAGCTATGAAGATGATCAGGGGACTGGAGCATTTCTCATATGAGGAAAGGCTGGGGGAGCTGGGCATGTTCAGCCTCAAGAAGAGACATTTAAGAGGGAACCTCATCAATGTATACAACCATGTAAAGGGAGGGAGTCAAGAGGATGGAGCCAGGCTCTGCTCTGTGATGCTGAGCAATAGGACAAGAAACAACAGGAAGAAACTGATGCAGAAGAAGTTCCATCTGAACATGAGGAAGAACTTCTTTACCGTGCAAGTTACTGAGCACTGGAACAGGTTGCCCAGAGAGGATGTTGCTACATGCTACAGGATGTAGATACATGCTATAGGATGACCCTGCTTGTGCACAGAGGTTGGATCAAATGACCCACTGTGGTCCCTTCCAACCTTACCCATTCTGTGATTCTGGAACTTGGAGGCAAGACTTCTGTGCTGATATCTCCCATTTCTATAGAATGGGAAAACTGGAGATCAATATTCTACTTCCAACACTAGACTAGTCTATGACCTACAGTTTAAACAGCTGCAAATCTGTGAATCTAAACATTTCCTGATTTGGTCACACAGAGCTCAATATCCCTCCCCCAGTCCAAAATAGCATATCATCACTAAAAAAAAAAAAAAATTGTCAGTAAATTTAGTCTTCTCTAATGAGTACCTATTTAATAGCATACAACTTTCAAAAGCATTATTTAAAGAGAGAATACAAAAGTAGTTTTAGTAGGATTTTGAGAACATTCACAAGGATCTGTAAACTTGTAGATTTGAAAACCTAAGTTGAGAATTGATGACATGGCCACATTGCATTTCCACATATTAAAGCAGAAGGGATACTGAGAATCCCTGCATTGAGTCTGACTTCCAGGAGAAAGTGAGGTCTAATACATAAACAAAAAATAAAATCTACGGCAGCCCAGAGAAGTTTAACTGCACAACGACTGAAACACAAACTGGTTCACAATATTTATTACAACCTATTGCTTTAGATAAACCTGCTGTATGGTTAGTAAACCCAAACCACATTATATGAACCAACAAAAAAAAATTACAGCACAAACCACATCTCTGTAAAAGTATGCAGTGGAGATGAAGAGAGGCACAACCTTAGACTTGTAAGTAAGAGCACAATGAATGTGTGAGTACAGTTCTCCTAGTAACAGAAAATTAAGGTAAATAAAGTTCATACTAATGGTAAAAATCAGAGTAGTATTGTTATATCTGTATACAAAGAACACAGGGTCTTTTTGAATACCCTTCTTTCATTCTCCATTACCTGTAAACACAGCTCTCCCAAACCACCTTCCCTCTGTACCTGAACCAGTATATAAAGATCTATACAGAATGTGCAAATCCAGTATAAGTATTTTTAGGCTCTCTTCTTCAAATAGAAGAAATACAAGTTTAAAAACATTAACACCACAGATTCCCTCTACCCAGCCTCTGTAGAAAGACATCCAAGTACAGAAGTAGCAAAACACTGGACCAAGAAATCTGTAAGAATGCACAAACAATACATGAACAATAAATACAAACACATGTGTAAAAGCAAACAACATTTATCAAGGGAAACTACTAATACTGGCAAAGGAAAATGAATTAGGACTCGTCAGCTTACAGATCCGTTCCCAAAAAACATTCACATAATGCTTTAAGTCAACTTATAATGTTAACTGAGATCCAACTACATCTTAGGCTGACAGGATTTATTCGTCAACTCATTCACTAAGATGTGATATCCAGTGGTTACATGCCATGCTCCATAGTATTTAATGATACCATATTTATAAGTGTTCCTAGAGCAAGACGTCAGGAGTCAAACAGTTACTCTGTTGGGTTATTTGCTACTGCTGCCTTTTCATTACCACTCCTCAGATTCTTTCTGCACCAAACATTTTAATACCCCTCTACTAATCTGCTATTTTATGTTTTTGAAAAGATAAGTTAGACAAAAATATTACAGCCTACAGTGAGTGTGGTGCAATCTAGTTCTTGTGTTAAGACTTCTGGCCCAAGAGTAATTTAAGAACAGTACCAGCCTGAGCAGAAGATAGTTTTAGAGCACTTGAAATAGACAGATGTTGAAACAGTCTGGATTTTACTTCAATGCTGGAAAGTGAACCAGAGACTAAAGAATTTACATACACCAATCTCAAGCATAGTCTAGAAGCTCAAGCAATAATGAGAGTTCACTCCTTCCAGAAATGGCTTTAGAGGGTGTTCTTTGCATTTTTCTATGAGTGCAGATATGAACTTCTTCGAAGAGTATTTGAGCTTCCACTTAAGCTAAGAGGGAACATATTCAGTGCAAACAACACACAAGTTAATTCAATTTAAAGCTCTCAAACTAAAGCAAAAAGAAAAAAGCTTACTGTTTGTCTGACTACCTCCTGTGAAACAACTCTTTATCTGAAGGTCAGGCAATAACACTGAATATCAATAAAGAGTCCTTTGGCCAGCACTTCAACATTTCTGTCACTGAGATGAAAGTAAAATTATACTTTCTATGCCTAGAGACACAGAAGCCTCCATGCAATGCTGATATAGCTGCACAGACTTTCAGGGAATTTATTTTTTTGAATAAATATTTACATACAAGGCCAAACCACAACATTTTCACCCTAAGAAAGTACATTTTACTGTAAAACTTGATTTGTGGTGAACGTCCAACAGTTGTCTAACAGTTCATTTGCAAGGTTGGAGTGTATTACAAAACTCACTAGAAAAATTTCTATTTTTCATCTGAGTACTGAGAGGTTCAGTGTAGTTGCCAGCACTATAACAACTTGGTTAAAGTCATTTTTTAGTAAATCAATATTGCCAGGTAGGTACAGTCAGTCCACATATACAAATTACTCCTACCCAGTGTAAGAGAACCTAGCAACAAGCCTCAAAAATCTCAGACACATCAACTTCTTAAGTCACCAGTTTTGAATTTCATATGAGTGCTGGAATTATTGACCACAACAAGGTCAGGTGTCGAGTGTGTTGACTTCTTTGGAGCAGAAATAATGCACAACTATTGCATTAGGGTATCGAGCAAACGCACTGTAAAGAGAACAAAACACAAAAATCAGCTGTCAATACAGACAGTTTTCCATATTCAAACAAGAACATCCAAGTTGTACAGAATCAGAAAGAGACACCTACGTGAAAGTGACTCTTTCTTTTTTAAATTACAACCTGAATATATTTTTGAGAAAACCAGACAAAAGAATTCCATGGATTTTGTAAGCAGGCTTTTTTTTTTTTAATATGTTTTCATTTCTATAGGCACACTTCACTTCAACTTGGTAACAAGTTAAAGACTGGGCAACATGCTTGACCTTCAAAACCTTGTTGAACTTAAGAACATTAGAAAAATTCTATAAAGCAAAAACAATACTGCCTGTGTAAACTGAAAATCTGATGCTACATGCTACACATCAAGAGTAAAAAACTTAATATGTACAGCAATATTTAGACCTATGTTTATTAAAATATTTTGGAAAAACAACCTTTCCTATCATTGTTAATGCTACTGATATCTCAGAAGAGCTCACATCAAGAAGAGAAATAATAACTAAGTTACTCATGTGGCATTTCACTCGAGTTCAAAGATGAAAAAGTGCAAGTAAAATTTGCATTCTATAGTAAGCCATAATTACCTACTAGGAATAGTGGAAGAAAAGTTATTGGCATCCAGGTAATCAAGTAAATTAGTTTTACTTTTAGACATCCTATGATAACTAGGCTACAAAATGTAAATCAGTCAGATAACTACAAAGCTATGAGATACAGAAAACTACACATGTATCTTAGCTTAAAATTCTTTATATCATCCTTCGTAATTCTAGTTAAGAAGCAGGTAGTAGCAGAATGACTTTAAGCCTTTTAGAGTTGTGAAATGAGAGCTCTTGGGAGTTTCTGAAGAGATTTTATACTCTGTTGAAAGCAGATTAAACTCATGCAGTAAATTCACTGAGCGAAGCTTTGAGGTATTCCCAACCACCCAGTTGAGCAATGTAATTTGTAATTCAAACACTCTTCAAATACCTCTCTCATACTGCTGTTCTCTCTGGCTATATACACATTCCAAATTTTCCAACATCTTTAGTTTAAGTGTAACAGATTCATATTTGATTCATATATTACCAAGCTCTCTCACCTGTTACCTATCTTCTTTTTGCAAACAGTGCACACCTTCTCCTCTGTAATAATACACTTCACTTGCTGATGCAAGATCCGCTCCTCCTGGACCTAAAGAAGGATAAAAAACCCAACTTGTTTAAAGAGCTATGCCACACCACAGCTGCTTTCTCATCTGGTGAAATTGCAAATGGTTACAACATTTCATTTTCAGTATCCATATGGCTGTATTCACATTCCCAAGCAGTACAGCACAAAAGCAGCAGGTCTGTAGAGCAGAGCAGATGGTACTGAACACCCAGTACACACACTATATGAATTACAGGATTTTACTTTCAACTTAGTCCAAAGACTAAGGCATTCTAACCACTAAGGAGTGTTTGGGTCAACTACCGAACTGCTTCCTCTGGTTCACTGTATTTGAAAGAAATCCAGTCCAAGCCGTTTGAGATGGTTCTGCAATGCACACCATAGCACAGTGAGTCCAGAGACTTACTGGAAAAACAGACTCCTCATCCAAACTAAAATGAACGTACACTGCATCTCCCGCCGGGATGTTCAACCTACTTGGGTCACATTTCAAGTGCACTACAGCACCATCTAGAGGACACACATCCCATATGAGGAACAGTTAATTTAAATACTGAACATGTTTTAAAACACTGTTCCAATAAATGACAGGTGGTGGGTGCTTACCCTCAGAAACTCTGCATGGAGAAGATTCTTGAGCACTTGATTAAATCTTTTCTTCTGAGCATTTTCTTCAAGGACTTTCTCTAAGAAGATGCGAATCTCATTAATCTGTGTATTTGCTGGGAGTAGGTTTATTGCCTGGAACAAAATATACTTAAGTCAGGAAAAATTAAAAAGGAATAGAGACCAAAACAGAATAGAAATTGACATATTTAGCTCGACACAGTCCATCAACTTGCCTACTATAGTATCTTCCATAATCTTCTACCAACAGTACAAACTGAGTAGTTGCAGGTCTGTCTTACCTTAGTGGTATCCAGTTTGCTGTGATGTAGTTCCAAAACCTGCAGAGCAGCCTGTAGATTGGCTTGAGGCTCCAGCACTTCCATCTTGATTGGTCCCAGGCAATGAACACTAGGCGGGGAGAGATACATCCGGAGCAGCGACAGATAGACCTGTTGCACACAAAAGGAAAGTTCTGAAAATACTGCATGTATCCAGAACTGACAGTGCTAGTAGAACCCAGCAATGGTACTAAGTTGTACTAATGGTATCCAAAATTCTGAAGCGCTCCTTTAAACAGCTCTATCCTTAAAACAATACAACCTGAAAAGTAGCAATGATGTTGAAGGCCTTTCAAGACTTGCATTCTGAAGATTTTCTATAAAAGTAGTTAATAATGTCTCCCTCATCTATCTTTCAGAATTCACTTATAGTGTCTAGAAACCAACACTTCATTGCCTTTTACCCCTATCTTTTCTGTAGATGTATGTGGAATACACACAGAGTAATTTGTCTTCTGAATTCCATCGTAACTCCCGTGATACAGTATCATTCTCAATGAAAAACAAATAAAAAACCAAACACAACCCCCCAAAACAAACAAACAAAACCACAAACAAACAAAAACCACACAAAGAAAAAAAACCCAACCAATCAGTCATCTAGTAATTTCTAAATTCCAAGAGCTTATACATAGGCTCCCTACACAAACCTCGAAAAAGTTGGGAGTACAAAACCAAAACTTTCAAGTCCTGAAGAAAGGTATGAATAGCCTGCTACATCCTTACTGAACAGAAAGACTACAAAGATGAAGCTACTTACATCTTTGTTGCCATCTTTATTTCTGTCGTAATGTTTATGGCAGTAGCTAGAACAGAGAAGAATCAAATAAAATACAAAAACAATTTTACAACTCATAGAATCAGTTCACAGAAATTAACATTTAAATGCTTTGACTACTGAAGTCATCCAGTTAAGTGACCATACATCCAATTTGGATCAATTAAACTGCAGGAGAAAATTACACCATTTATTTTGCATTACAGTGCTGAGAGAAGGGAGGGTTTGTGCAAATCTCCCACTACCAATCTACTTAAAAAACTTTAATGCAGAAGCCAAATTTAATTTGGCTGTGTAAGAAAAAGGGGGAAAAGAGATATCTCCAACCAACACTAGCTTGAAAAGAAGCTACATTGAACAGGCCCCAGTGCTCACATATACCTATCAGCACTGAGTACCTGAGTACTTCTGATTCACTCAGGAGGTTCCCTGGCACAAAATATCTAGAAAAATACTGTATCTTTACTAAGAGGATTCTGCTTAACTGAAGGAGCCTAACTTGGCATGAGGGCTAATGAACGTCTCTCCAAAAAGAAAGATGGAAACAAGAAACTCATTGATGAGAGTCATACTGCGCTAAAGTGCAACGGCAGAAGAGCATGAAAAGGTAAATCTCAAGGGGACAGAATGAACACCTGTAATGAACACATAGTTGGAAAAACCTAAAAGTCAAAAAAACACAGAAACCCAGAAGATCCTGACGACTTAGGAGTGTTAATGTTCCACATACAGCAACATTTCACTACACATCCACAGGGAAATGAGCAAACTAAGACTCGCAAAAAAATAAAGAAATCCTTACTTTTCAGCCATGCTGGTGTCCTTCAAAATATGAACATAAATAAAAAGAGCTTGCTCGTGCTTCCCCATACGACCCAAGAGCAGAGCACGTTCTTCTAGGAGACCTAGTGATAGCATGAAGGATTAAGTCAATAGCTACACAGAGAAATGACAAAAAAAGCTCAATTACTGACCAGACTAACAGTTGGAATTATTAATCTGTGCTCAGACTACAGTTTAAGTTACACTGAGACTAATCTACACTTCACACGTCTCAGAAACCTTTTATGAATTCTTAAGTAACCTTAAGAAACAACAACCTTCAGATCTGTTGAAATATTCAGGTTCATCAAAAAGTTAGGCTAAATATTTAAGTGATGAGAGATGCCACAAGGTCTTAGGTCAACAGTAACAGGAATCCTGCAGAGACTGGCAAACCCAACTGAGCCAGCAAAAACACATCAGTGGCCTACAACTACAGATGCAGTCATCTTGTCTGTTTCTAGTTACCATGATTCTACAATAAGTGAGGAGGTTTTGTTGTACAATGCAATAAGCTAGGGTTTAATTAACCTATGAAAACTGAACTCACCATCAAAGGGGAAGTCACTAATTAGCCGACCAGGTTCATACCAGCTTGACTTCTCCAGAAAAAGCAGAAGCTTTTTACGGTACTCGCCCAAGTCTCCTCCTTCCTCCCCAGCAGGCACTGGAGTTCTATCTATATGGAAGAAAGCAACATAAGCTAAATTTTTAAAACTATTTTACTGCATGAGTACACAAAAGATGATGAACAAACAAATCATCATCAAGAGGAACTAAATGCTGATAGTACTGTTACATGGATTAGGACTCTAGTATACCTGCCAAATTATTTCAGCTCCTTAAAACACATCGAGAGGCTGGATAAAACAATACTCAGTTACTCAAAACCCTTCCTACCCTTAATGTGCAGGATTCAGGAAGCAGTAGTTGCCATTCTACTTAATTATGAACAAAGTGCTGCTTGATCCCTTAAAATCTCTTGGGAGACAATAAACTATCCTGCCCTAAAAACCCGCAACTTTTGTTGTTCCAATTCCTTCCTCACTTAGGGTTTAACAGGAAAGGCTTACAAAAATATGCTATATGAAGGTTCCCCTGTGCTGTCCCATACCCCTGGTCTTCTCACCGGAAAAGGCTAAACATACCTGCAGGGAACGAGTTGAGATATTCTTTCATTAATCCCTGCACTTTCTCACAGTACAGCTGGATCAGACAGTTGTGAAAGTCTGCACCAGTTTCTTCCCAAACATGAATGATGTGTTCCTGTGAATACATGTTAAGGTTCAGTTATAGACACTTAGTCTGGAAAGTAACTTATTATAAGCAAGCAACACTTCCATGCTTGCCTTTACCAATCCTGACTTCAGGATTTCATAAATTTTAATTATGGGATTTTTGCACAACTTATGGCAAGGCTAGCATTCTCTGAGACAGCATCAGACTCTGACTCCTGGAGAACTGAAATCTTACATGTAACATCTTGTACTGAATGTAATGCACCAGTAGGGATTGACTTCTTACCAGATAAGGAATAGTCAAGCTTTTAAAATTTTCTATCAAGAAACTGAGCACTTTGTCCCGTGGCAGAGCTTCCACTTCAGGGAGGTCTTCTGTAAATATCTGTTAAACAAAATTTTATTCACAGAAAGGTGTGGTTATTTTTTTTTAAGTGCCACAGTGTATTTTCTCTGAGGCCCTGAAGCCCAGCATATCATCACATGGGTCTTACAAGAGTAAGCACAAGAAGTAAAAAAAAAAAAAAATCTGAACAGCTTATTCAGGCATTGAGAAGTTATTTCACATCTGAAGAGACTAACAAACATCCCCACTTCTGCCTTTGTGAACACTCTTCTCTTACAGAGTCCAACATCTTCCAAATACAGGAAGTCAATTTTATATCAAAGAGAAAAAAGAAAATAAGTATGGCAAATCAACAATTTGCCATTTAAATACTCTATCAGGCTCTAGTGCAAAAAGTGTGACATCAATAACATTAAATGTTGTAAACTATTCCAAGAATGGACAAGAGTAAGAAAAAGTCAAAAGACTGTCCTGCTCTACCTACTGCTAACATTACCACAGTACTGAACACAGAAAACACAAATTATATCTTTAATTTGATTTAGCATTAATACACAGCTTCTTACATTAAGTTATCCCAATTCCATATACTGCATTAAGAATCTCAACGACAAGGTGCCTGTTTCAACCACACTTACCTTCAGACCATCTTCAGGAAAATCTCTTAGCACCCAGACTGAGTAGGAAAATACCAAGTGCAAGTTTTCTGTGCCTGGAATATAAAAAGCAGTAGGGCTCAATGTTAAAATCCTAAGCATCTATCTACTCACAACACAAGCAGACACCTTCAGAGCCAGCAAAGCTTAATTTACATGAAGAATCAAATTTTTCTCCCTGCTCAAGTCAAGTAAACTGTGGTTAAATCCACCATTTCATTATTTCACAGACATGATTTCAAACAGAAACAAACATTAACTCAAATACTAAATGCCACCAACATAATTTAGCCCAAAACTAAGACTGGTTGTTTTAATCACATTCCAAGTCTCCCTTTACAACTTGCTGTTATTACAGTAGAAAAATCACTGTACTTTTCACTTACATAACTTCCTTCAGTTGTTTTAGAGCTTGTCAGTCTAATGGTCACATACTTCAAAACAAATAGTAAAGCCTCATAGTACTGAAGTAACTAGCATAGAAACTACATCACATCTAATAGCTTCTCAGCTTTTCAGAGAATGTAGGACCTCCCCTTTTAGAAAGAATGCTTGTGTTCGGACAATGCTGTTCACAAAACTAATAAAACACTCTAGGAAAACATGACTGTGTACTCTGTCGACACAAGGTAAGTACCAAATACACATCAGTAATACATACTTGATGACTTAAAAGACCACAGCTACAAGCCTGGAGGAATTTTCTGTAATTACTTGAGTACTATTTCTGAGTATTTCGTTAAATGCCCAAAAATCTATAGAAAAGAGTCAACTGAAGCAGAGTTCCTATTTCACTCAAAATGTAAGTGAAAGAAACTAGGAATACATCCTATACAATTAAAATAATAATAACAAAAAAAAAAATCAATTATTGCTTAGAGTAGAAGACCATAACTACAGAAACCTCACCCAAAGGGTGGGCAAAGGGAAAAATCTGGAGAAACTGCATAGTCTGAAACGCTTTTATGATCTTAGTTTAGGGACTCCCAGAAATAACACTCATCAATTAATCAAGGGAGAATGGGCAGTGCAGTTAAAACAACTACACATACGGTGTTACATTTCTGTTATTTACTTAAGGGGAAATTCTGCAAGTGACACCAGCATAAAACATTCAATTCTTCAGGAAGAGTCAACTTTCTAGGTTGTTTCCACTGTATTTCACTACTGTGAAGTAAACAAACATTTTTTATCAGTTTTAAAGAGCTGACCAAGAAAAATACAGAAAAAAAAAATTTCAGGTCCCGAAACATAAGTTCAGAAGTCTAAAAAAATTTAGCAAGCTGCCAAGATTTTAAAAAAGTATTACAGACAACTTGGGTAACCATAGGTCTTAACCTTCAGCCATGTCAGGTAAAACAAATGAACAGCTGACAATAGTCAATTGAGATGATTCTATCAAGAATTACTTTTTAAGTAAGATAACAAGTTTCTTTTGTAAAGCTGTGTTGAACACAACATACATTTCTCTAAGATGAGTGACATTACCAAATGACACCAATGAGTAAGAAGTGTTAGACATGGCACAAATGGGAAAGGTCTCAATATCATTATTATGTATTATCACTGAATAAACATGTTGCTAATTGAAGCCAGCAGTTTTTAAAAGAAATAATTATAGAAAAAAATATCAAACTTGGGTAACAGAATAAGACTAAGAGATGAACAAAGGTATTTCCCACACAAACTACACACAACCAAACCAGCAGTGTGATAATTTTGAATAGTTTTGCTTTTAGAAATAATATTGGATGGGAGGGAACTATTCTAACAATTAGCAAATACAAAGACTCAAGAGTTCACAACAAGCAGCCAATCAGACAAGTTTCTACCATGATGCTTGAACAGCAACTACAATTGTTAAGTCATTATCTAGATCTACCTTAACACAGGAGACAACAACTTAATATAGGATTTTCATCTCATGAAAGACAATACAAAGACCAGCAACTGGAAGTTAAGACTTTCAGCTAGAAAGCCTAACCAGAAGTTAAAACTTGCCTTTCGTCAGTGATGATAAATCATCACTGGAAGAAAATTCAAAATACTATGGCTCATTTTCTCCCAATGGAAATTTTAATCAGAAACAAAGAACGTTTTCCAATAAGATATTCAAGTTTCAACAAAACATTCCTGAGCTAATACTTGAAGTCTGCATTATGCAAGGAACCAAACCAGACGACAAGGATATCCTCCTTTAGCTTGATAGTTTCTAGGAAGTTGCCAAACAGAAGAATAACCACTAAGCCAAACAGGAGTAACAGCTTCACAAAAATACTGCTCTCCTTCACACTCACCCAAATGCTGCAGATATTGCACTGTCCTCTCATGACCCTTCAAAGGTGAGTTGGCTTTCTTTGACTGATCCACCAGTACCTGTAGTGCTTTCAGAACAAAAAAATTCATTCCGTTGTAACACAAGTATAGTCCCAACCTGAACCACAAAAAAGTGCATTTTTCTTGTTCTGCTACTGAAGACAAAACAAAGGTTGGTTTTGAACATACAGACCAAACTAACAGGAACAAAGACTAATCTGATCACAAGATGATGATTAAACAGTCTCTTCTGAATACTGCCTGCTCACTGAAGACAAGTAAAAACTCAATACAAGGAATACATGCTTCTATTCCTTCTCCTCTCCCAACCACATACTTACCTTTCTCGTGCAGACCTTTCTTCTCATACAGTATTATCAGCTCACTATATTTGTGTGCCTTCTTTAGTACATGCTCACTCTCCTCAATATGGCAGTGATTGTTCTCCAGACGCAGCAATGGTGCCACCAGCGCTACATTTGTCTGCAAGCAAAAAGGGAGCACTTAAATGTATTTCACTGGAAGTTCAACTTCAAAGCACATAGTACAAAACACGAATTAGAAGCAGGGGCTGGGGGGCAAGGAAGCCTTATAGCAGAAGAAATACAAGAAATGAAAGTTTAACATCTTAGAGTAAGACCCATGTTAATTTCCATCATTTCTGGGACATAAGACTGAATCAGAGCTACTCCCCTTCAAGAACAGAGGTCAGCTTTGAAAAGCATTATAACAGCAAAGATCATACTCTTCTGCATTCAGCAGCACGAGGCAACAAAAACAAAGTTAGAACTTCAAAATACACAGGCATGCCCATGGTCTTTCAACAGACATAGCAACCAGAAACAGACACATCTGCTTACTCCATGAAACTGCTTCCTGAACAGTGATCAAACTAGCTAACCAAGTTTTACACATCATTTTTAGACCAAAGACAGACAGTTGTGTGAGAATTTCTGAAGTAGTTCCTTATCCTCCTTCTTAAATATTTCGGAAATTCCAGCAGAGCTCAGGTGGCAAAGGAAAAGCCTCTAGGTCAGACAGACACTCACATGCAGGTAACACTTTAACAGGGTGGTATCAATGATTTGTAGCAGCTTCTTTTTCGATTTGATGGTGGGTGTTCCTTCCATGAGTGGTGAAGTACTGGACTGATGGTCAGAATCATTTAGCTTCTTCACTAGCTGACTTCTTTTCTGCAGGACATCAAATGAAATTTTATCTGGAAAATGTCATAAATTTCTACATCTCACCTCAGCAAATACAATCTACCAAGTAAAAGGACTAAATTAAGCCAATATAATAACTTGATTTATAACATTGTTTCCAAAAGAATTTTTGTTACTAACTATTCAACAGATGAACTTTACAACTACATTCAGGTGTATACATTTGTTTTGCAAATTTATAGTTTTGCAAAATGTCCAGTCTTGAGAAAATAACCTGAAGGAAATTCTGTTAACCTGAGTAGAGACATTTTAGAGAAGTTGGGCAACATTCAAAACACTTGGAAAACAATTTAGGTTTTGAACTATTAGGCACAAAAACTATCTTCCTTTGGACACAAGCTTCTTTTTAGTCTAGCAAGGATGGCAAGCAAACAATTCAGGTTCCAGTTATGACAAAATAAAGAGGGCAGAAAGTTACAGTGCCCATTATCTCCTTATCCATATTTTAATGCGTGCTCTTGACCTGTCTCCTGGACAGAGTTTCCTCCACAGTGGTCACCAAACAAAAACAAAAGATCAAGTGTTCAAGTCTTCTTCACAAGGACACCAGAAATAAAACACTGGACTCATATTCAGATCCGATCCACAAGTTAATTTTGTCCAGTAACATAAGATGTTTCCCACATAACTGTGGGCTATCTCATGTGCTCCATTTCCCCTGCTTACTCAGGAGCTGCTGCCATAGTTTCCAACCATGAAGACAGCCCACTAAGGCCAGTATGACAGAGCTGGAGTAGGTGTACTGCTTCCTACACACCAAAGTTAACCAACAAAGCATGCTAAAACTGAATAACCCTGCTCTAAAAACAGGTAGAGGAGCACTCACTTGAGTTAGGTAGTCTATCAGAGCTAAATGTGCCTTCTCCAGCTCTGCCCCAGAGAGCCCTGGCAGGGGGTTGGGATACTGTAGCTGTTTCCTGTAATCTGTGGGCAGGAGGTCAGGATACAGACCCATCACATGAGTGGGATCTAAGCAAAAAATAACTAGTATTAGTAACCATTCATAATATTTTAGTAAACTCTTCGAGTCAGCTTAGCTTTCCAACAGAGCAGTCTGTAGTCAACTTGTATATACATGAGGTTCTAGATAACAAATTCACTCGTTACAAAAGAGAAGCTAAAATAAGGCAAAAGCAGCAAGAGAAAAACTGTTTCAAAGTTCAAGCACAAGAAGTTCCAACCTGTCCACTTCGCACACCTGGAGGACAAGTCATTATAACAATCATCTTGTTGCTCTTCCTACAGAATCCCAGCAATAATCACTCTGACAGTAAGCTAGGACTTCTAGGAAGAAGCACTGTTTTAAGAGAAGATTTATTGTGCTTTTGAAACAAGAACTGAATAGCACCATCTCTAACTAACACCCATGTTCCCATAGTTTAAGCAAATTCCAAATTACTATCCTCTAATTTAAAGTTCAAAGTATTTTGAGTTCTCCTTCCTTTTCTTTTACTGTAGTTTTCCAAAGCAAATATGATGTGTCATCAAAACAAGTTCTAGGTTTAAATGCACAGGAGATGCCCTGTCATCAATAATCTCAGTCTTAAGCACTATTCTATGGAACAGTTCGGTCTTAAGTGTTCTTCCAATAGCCCTAGTACAAATCAGAGGAGTAGCATCAGAGCATATTTTGACTTCTTAAAGTACAAAAAAGTCTCCTGGTTTCAGCAGCTTGGTTAAACGAAGGGCTAAGAGTCCTTTTGTCTGAGTAAAATGACTTTGCAAATCTACAGAAGTTCCTTATTTTTCATTCCAAGTCACAAGCAGGCTTTTAGCAGCTGCTGAAACACTCAGCTTCAAGGGTCTGTGCACATGCCATGCATACTGCAAAATAGCCTAGAATACAAATATATTCTGCACAAAGGGCAAACTCTTGATTTAACTTAACTTACTAGGTGTAGTTGATTAAGTACTATTGCCAGTTTCACCAAAAAACAACTAAACAGCTGTCCAGGTTATTTGCCGTTCACAGGGGACTGGTCTGCATAAGACACCTCCATTTTAAATTAAACAAAACATTAAAACAAAAAGCCCCACACAACCACCCATGAGTTTCATTTCATTCCTTCTAGGCTAGGTACCTCAAAGCTGACCTAAGCATTTACCTGTACCAAGTTTGGCAAAAACTTGCATAGATTCATCAAAGCGCTTCTGGCAGAAAAGGTTGAAGGCAAAGAGGTTCTTTATGTGGTGAATTTGTTGTCGCTTCTCACTATCTGAATCATCTTTCATTTCCTACAAACATACAAATCAACAAAAATTAAAAACTCTTGGGTCTCATATATGAGAATATGTAAGAATATATAAGAAATAATGGGAGCATTATACATTGGACAGATTAGGAAGAAACAAGATAATCTTCCAAAGTGAACATCTCTGATGGTGCCTGTCAGGTGCTATGCTTACTGTGTCACTGAGACAACCTGGAAGGTTTGAAAGCTACCTTTTATTATCTATATAACTGCTCTGTCACAGCAACTGTCTCTTCACTCATTTGCCTCTTCAAAATTTTTTTTCAAATCAGCAATTCAAAATGCAATTAATTCATTTTAATGTAATTCCAGGGAAGTTTCCAGAAACCAAAAAATCCTAAAACAGTAAGAGCAGTAGAATTAAACATACTGCATATCTATAAAATATCGTTTCAGGAGTAGCACTAAAAAAACCCCAAAAGCCATGTCACAGAACACACAAACCTTCCAAACAACATTGTCTGCAAGCAGCCTGCAGACTTTTAAGTCTGACTTCAAAATCTAAATGAAGGTAACCAATTAAACAGCTAAGAGGTAAGCTTTTACACACAAGATGATATCTCAAAATCTAAATCACAGCAGATCAATACGGAATAACGGCAGTCCAAAACTACAGCTTAAGTCAAAAAGGTTGAAGTTTATGAGTTTGTGCAAAGTGGACAGTTGGAAGGCTACACTCTGACTGATTAGTGGACTTGCTACAGTCAAGCAGATGGCAAACATCCTTTTGTTTACTTTTGCACAACTACATCCGCTGCAAACTCAGTTTTTGAGTACTTACTGCCAACTGCAAAGCCAACTCAAACTGTTTGTCCTGCAGAAGCTGTTGGATCTGTGTTGCAATGGACACCGGAATGAGCCGCCAAACAAAGTGATTACTTGCTACATATATAATATTTGTTCTGTAAACAAGACAAAAGTAGTCAGTTACTAAGTTCCAGTGCTGAGAAAGAAGCAATACCCTATCCAAAAAATACAATCCTGGTTAATACACATATGGATCAACCTGATAAAAGACCAACTTGAGCATTATTGCAAAGCAGAAAGGAGAAGAATATATGTCCAGTGATCACAAATTCTAAAGACACTCAACTCTACAATTTCCTCCTCAAGATATGGCCTCCACCAATCTCTACATAAAAAACCCAACAGACTGCTTTCATGCTATTTCTTAAGCTGAGAGACTTAAAAAAAGCTGCTCTTCTCCCAGTTTTTCAGAGTGGTACCATACACCCAGAGAGCCTGACAACAGTAATAATCAGTTCTGTTCAATACCCTCCAGAGGTGATGAAGCGTGGTCTCTGCAGCTCAATGCTCTGTACAAGCAGCCGGGGCTCAAAAGTGCGGATCTCCACATACCTTGGCAGAACAGCAATGATGTAGGGAGGCTGGTGTTCTGTTAATGAAACAAGAAAAATTTAAGTTGATCACTCTCAAGTATTCCTTGAAATAAACCAGACCTTAAAGGCTTCTTTCCAATTTTTTTCCCCTTGAAATGTGCTCTTCTTTTCCCAGAAGAACTACAGTTCTTTAACACACTACCTTCCATTTCAGACCTTGTCCCTTTATACAAGATAAGCAATATGCCTATTTTATGATGAGAAAGGCATATAAACTACAAGCAGAGAACACTAAGAACCAAATATAAACATATGAAATCTTTCCAACAGTACAACTTAAAATACTGTAGAAACTGTCACACTCCAAATCCAGCTAGTTTCAAAATACTGGAAATATAATGGTTTTATCACATACAGAAGAGTACAGAAGTAAATTTAAAAAAAAAAAAAACAAACTTCTGCTACTTCTCACCCATGGCTATAGGAATATCTGTCCAATTCAAGGCACATTTCTGAGTACAGACCCCTTCTTCGTTAAGCACAACTGTTAGATCATCTTGGCCAACGGCAACTTTTCCATCTGCTACAGGAGCTACCAATGGTTCCAGCTGCTTCCCTGTGGGAAACAGTTCTTTGATGGATCCTTTTCCATCCACCTAGGATAATAAAGAAGATAAAAAATCTGGTTTTTAAAATAACCTTCATTTCACAGCTGCATGAGACTAAAGCCAAAAACCCCTGGAGGGATTTACAGTCCATACTAATCACTAACAGGACCAGTGCAGTTTTAAAGAGAAGCAATAACATTTTCTGCATATCTTATCTTGCTTATACATCATTGTGGAATAAAGAATTAATATCTGAGATGATGTATTCCTGTTAACAGTGTTACTATAACAGTAGCTGAGCACATCGCTCATACAGGTTTATAAAATGCATAGCACAGTAGCAACATCAGCTGCAGTGTCCAAATACTTAATCCAGGCCAAAACTTTTAACACTGTTTTGTTATGGCATGAGTGAGTGCTGCCACATAAAAAAAAACAAACTAAAAGCCAAGCAAACTGTCTAGTCTTTCCCCTGCCCTAGCCTATCATTTTGTGGCCACATGCTGTCCCGGGAACTGCGTCCATACCAAAAAATTGGCTGTTTCATGAGCCAATGAAACAACTCACTACCACCAAAACAGAGTATCTTTCTCCTTCAACTCCAGCTACACATTCTTGATGCTTCCCTTGCATTTATAGCTTAAGCATTTTCTAAATCAACAGCTAGCTAGCAGAAAGTTAACACCATAAAAGCATGCATATTTTTTCTGCCTATTTAGTGAAAAAGAGTCATTCAAGGATAGGTCTGTCAAGCATCAAAACTAACCCAAAGTAGATACTTGGACAGGTAGTTTCCACCCTGGTTGCTTGAGCAGCTGCACAACTACTCATATATAAGTAGAATGGAAAGAATAAACATCTAGGAGAGCACTGCAGAAAGATATCCCTTCTTTTATGAGCACCATCACTTTCAAGTGATCACATCTGGTTTTCCTGTTGCCTACAGATTAGTGTTGCCAACCATGTAAGAACACATTTGTGGTGCACCTCCTCTTCACCTTATTTTCCTATAATATCTGCAGAAACCAACTATAAAGGCAGAAGAGAGAATCAGCTATGGTTGTAAGTGAAGCATTAACTGGAAACTGTAATATAATGACAGCAAGTTTAGAGACTATCAAAGTGAAACTATTACAGTTCAGCAAGAGAATCAAAAACTAAAACATAGTTACATTTCACTGTATGTCAGATATTCTTGGTCTTTTTTCCTTCTTTGAGCTATCTCCTTTCTTAATACATTAATAAAATGCAAACTGAGCTTACACAGACTGCTGCCAATCCAAAACATATCTTCCCTAATGCCTTTTTTCTGCAAGAGCTGTAAACACTGCTTTCAACAGTAACAAACAAAAGATCACTTCATGACAACATCAGTTTAAAAGTACAGACTTAGATGCCCTTCCCATACCAGGAGTACCAGATGCTGTTTTTCATAAATCTGTTAGCTAAATCCCTGAGCACAGAAGCAGCCTCCATAGTCTTTAATGCTATCCAAATCTTCTAAAAACACTATAACACACCCCATTCTTACCCGGATCAGGTAATAGTCCCTCTTGAAGCCTACACAGATGGAGTTTTCACACCAGGCCATAGACTTGGGTACGTCAGGCACACTGAAGTCCCCCTGTGGAAAACAGGGAAAATAGGTTAAACTGGCTATTATAAAAGAAAAGTCAAATCTGGCAGTGCAGAGCATAACAGGCACCATATTCCCCACCACACATGCCTGACATCTACTGGTCAAGGAATGGCAGTATTCAACTAAAAGGCTAGATTCATGCACAATAGAGAGGTGTGCTCTGAGTTAGCTGGTAGTTTTCTAGAAGGGCACTGTAGGTGAAAAAGTCTCTACCCATTCCAATCAGTTATTTTATTTGTTCCAGTATTCACAACTGCAGCTCTCTACACTGGTTGTCAGTAATCATCTTCTGACTTGATGACATATCTGGAAAACTTGGGAGTAGAATTGCACCCACTTCCATAATGCTGTATTTAGGTATACATTCACAGATGCTCTATGCTAATATGCTCCACTGACTTACAAGTGTACTACAACCAGAACGGTGAAAATACAGGACACAGCTCTTAATTTAATTTATTAACTGTATTAACAACATTAACTGGGATTCAAACCACTTTTATTTTCTGCTTCATTGTTATATCTCTGCAGAACCAACCAGAGTCAATGCTCCATAAGTCAGCAGTGTCTCTGGGTAACAGGGACTGCATAGCAAGCAGTAAAGAGCAACTACACTCCCTGTTGAGGCATATTAGATTACAGAAACAACTCAGCTCACCTGTAGTTCATGGAACTCTCTGTCCTTCCAAAAATACAGCTGTAGCTTCTTACGCACTGCCACACACATTCTCAGCACCTCTTCCCCTGTATCTGATTGCTGGGAAAACAGACAGGCCTAACTCATAGGCACTCACATAACAGGAGGCAAGTAAGATAATACAAGGCCAAAAGAATCCTCAGCCCGAAGCAAAGCTGTCAACTGAACACCAGCTTTGTTCAAACTTGCCAGAAGGACATTGCCTAAAAAACGGGAAGGGGGGGAGGTGGTGTCAGAATACTTAAAACCAAACTTTGGCAGGGATTGTGACACCAAGAAAATGCAAAAAAACCAAAAGAGCACCAAAGGCATACCCACACACAAAGAGAAAATAAATACAGAGCTATCAGTCCAGCCCTGAAACTAGGATAAATATCTGGAACTCTGTGCAGTATAGGAGAGGTAAGGAAATGGAACAATGCAAAGAATGTGTTATACTAATAGATTTAAATATTAATAACTTCTAATATTCTAACCTATTGAAAAAGCTTCTTGACAAAAAATACTAGGAAAGTTAAGTGCCTGTACATGCAAACAACAAGCCCCTTTGCAATGACCAGATGTAAAGGTGCTTTGAAACACATTACTTTTCACATCTAGAAAACCCCAAGTACTTTCTAGAAACTATATAACACTTGAGCTTCTATGGGGCAAAGAGAGAAAATACGATGAAGAGCACTTCTGGTTATGAAGGCTTCTGAATTATATGGTAAGATGAGAAACTCACTTGGATAAAAATGAGTCACCCAATAAACCATAGCACATGAACAGAGGACTGCTATACCTTATGGAACCATTTTATGGCTTGAATCTACCACAACTGCCCTGGGACTCCGCAGGCCAATAAACAGAAACAAAAACGTAACAAAACAGTGATGAAGTTGCTTAGGCAAGGGAACCACCATGAGCTAGTACACTGGTAATTCTAGGAAAGGGAATGGCTTTTAAGACCTTTAAAAAAAACAAGACAGTCAAAGTTAAGCTTTTTATCAACAGTTGCAATCACAACAGGCACAGGAAAATGCCTTATGAAGCAGAGGAAGAAAATTAAGGTGACTACATTAAAAATTAAGCAAATGCAGTAGGTACTAATTTTAAAAACACTAGTACCCAAGCAATTAGCACACAACACAAAATCAACAAACCTAATCTATACAGAAACATGAAAAAGTTATCCTTATTACGAATAGTAAGGACACCTGTGCCACTGTACTCCTCCCCTTACCTGGAGATCACAAGTGAAGAGAGATGCACCTTTTGCCTTGGAAACCGTGGTGATTTGTTGAAATGTCAACAGGTCATGAACATAAATGTTATTTTCTGTTTTAAACAAAATTCCAATTATTACTCAATATTTAATACATGTAAAGGTCACTGCTAATTCAAATAAGTTATCACATTTTATGCTTATATAAAAAGAAGAACTTCTTAAACTAAGAGCTGCAAGAAAGGAAAAGATGTGTTTTCCCAAAAGCTGAGAAGTGCTAACCCCCATATAAATATAAAAATTTCAAAAAATAAGACTAACACCAACGTTGGTAAATTACATGCAGGAACTGAGAACAAATGCTAATCAAGCAGGAGTGGGAGTGAAAGGGTCAGCAAGCAGGCCAGAGCAGAGCAAGTTCAAGATGGAAGATTCTATGAACAAAGAGCATTTTGAACTGGCTTCTGGAATTAGTGTAAAGTGAACAGCTGCAAACGGAGGGTACTGTGGTCAGGTTTTTATACGCACGAGGACGCAAGCAGCAGAAATCTACACATGCTGGAGTTGGAAGAGCCGGGACTTGGAGATCATAAAGAAGGGAGCAGCAGCATAAGCAAAAAAAACCCACAGGAAGATCATAAGGTTAAAGGAAGATAGCCAGAGCCAAGCAAACTTAGACCTTCCACAGGATGGTAAAAGATCACCATCTACATTTAAACTGAATTTGGTGTAACACATCCACAGTAAGTTTGTTATATCAAAAAAGTTTGGACAGAAGTTTTAGCCCCTAATGTACAGTGCACACATACACGTGCATGTGTATGCTCAAATGCCAATACAATCTATATGCATACACACACACACTTCAGTGCACAAACGTACTTCTTCATTTCTAATCACAAAACAGCATTAATGCTCTGTTCTCCAAGCTGGCTTACAACAAGCAAAGCTGCTTCTCAATCCATGCCACTTAACGCTTCCTCTGCAAAATGAAAAGCTCAAATTCCACACAATGACTTCTCAACAACGAGACTGCTACGCAAGTGTGTGGAAAGAGTGCCACATTCAGATAAGTAACTGCATTGAGCTCATTAAACATTAAAACGTTTTTCTTCACTTACCTAATAGACTGACCAAAATTTTAAATTGAGAAACAACATGAATCTGAAAGGGAGAATGGTGTTAGTGACTCCATTCATAAACTAAACTTCTGAACAAGGGTTGATTACGGATAGTTAAGAAAATGCATCTTGGATGATCTCAAAATAATGAAAACAGCAAGACAGTTATCTATGCACCACCTTCCTTCAGTTACTGCAACCCTTTCAACTAACTATCACTTTTTGAAAGCTAGAATGTAGCACTTGCAACCTAAGCTGGTAAAAAGAGCTATAATAACGGGCATGTTACTAGTACAAAAACACTTCTAAAGGATATGCAAAGTACGGCTGAAACAGGCTGCATAACCATTCAGGTGTTTTCCCAAGAATCAATATAATCAATGAGCACAAGTTCTCCAAAAAAAAAAAAAAAAAAAGGAAATGGCAGCAAGACTGGCAGTTACTTTGGTTCTACATTTCCAGTAGGTGGAATTACATTCATATTCCTATAGGATTTCATATGAGAATCAAAAAATATATTACAGTCTATTCGTGTATTACCATCATATTTACAAATATTCTCAGCCAGAGAAGCTGAAGATTTTACTGCTAACCAAAGCCCAAAATAAACCTGCAAGTTCCAATTCTTTGCTTGCTACTTTAGCAATCAAACCAAGCTTATTCTGTTATGGGAAGAGTGGGCAAAAACACGGGTGTGTTTCACTGTTAGAAGAATCTAGTTTTTGGAAATTTTTTTGTTAAGTTTAGAGATTGAAGATGTACATTATTTCATTTATTGGCTGAAAACAGCAGAAAACTGTCCCCACATCAAGAAGATGGTATTTCCTACCTGCTGAATCTTCTTTGAGAAGTTCTTGTTGGATTTCTCTAGTGTCACTTCAAACCTATTGCAACCTATCAGAAAGATTTGAGAGAGTATGTAAACTGAAATTGCCCTCACTCATGATTGCATACATCTGACACTAAGTAGATAACAAATAATTATGAAAGCAAATGCAACACTGAAAGAATAACACTTGTAACATATCTGTGATACCTTTTATTAATAGCTAAATGCATCAGAAGGTCCTCTACATCAGAAGGTGAGGTGAAAATGTAAATTACACTTCTTGCACCCATCCGAGGGCCTCATCAATAGTTACATTTTTGCCTTGCCAAAATTTCAGATTACAAGACTTATTTCTAAGTAATTTGAAACCCAGAGATACAAAGACAGCCATAAAGTCTTAAACCACACTTTAACCATCAAATATCAGCAATTTAAATTGCTAGGGAGCACATCACTGCAAAATAGACATGAAATAAATACTGCACCACAAGGGTTTAAAAGGAGGTTGAGGGAGAAAGACTTACAGACACTTTCTGATGACATAACCTCTCCTGGCATTGATGCAAAAAAGGGGAAGAAATTTACCATGTGAGATAAGACACTAGCAACTCAAAACTAGCACATTCTGACTGGAATAGACAGCCTACAAGTTTCAGAAAAAGCAAGCTGAATTCAGTCTGTAGAATCCAAGTATCTACAAATGAACACCCTTCCAAGAGCTGAGAACTTGGAAATACACATTTTATTTTTACTTTCCTGGCCGGTGCTACACAACATTACTGTGTTCAGTAACATCATTTTCTACATAATAGCTGATAATGTGAAATACAAATCTCTTCAGTGAAAATCAATTTTAACTAAACTGAAAATAGAACAGTTCTATTTGTAGCATCCCTAGAATAGACTATGAACACTTACGACTCTCAAAGAGACAAAGAGAAGAGTATATATACATGACAGAACTAGTTAGGAGGGATCCCTCTCCCCCATCTATGATGCTCATGGACCCACTGAATATATATGCTCTTTCACTAATCCAGTCCATTAAAAGACAACGTCAAACCCCTCGTAACTGGCACTGCTTTTGCACATATTTGCACACTCTATTCATAAAAATTACAGTAGCTTACTATAAATTCAAACAGATAGAAACCAGACCTAAAACATAGTTTTAAACAATGCCTCACGTTACTTGCTGTCTTTCTTGCACGTCTGAAAAATGGTATGAACACTTTCACCAAAGATCATACATAAATATTCATTTAACTTTATGTAGGAAAAAATCAGCAATTAAACACACTTGTGTTAAAATCACTACAGCCTCTTAAAGTGCAGGAAATAAAAATAACATTATCAACTTTTTGTGCCATTCTTAAAATAAACTTACCTACGTCTTTCTTGATCCTGTAAAGCAGAAGATGCCCTTGTTTGGTTCCAACAAGGAGCCATTCCTCTACAAAGACAGGGGAGAAAAAGAGCCTAATTAGTTTAACAAATACTGCCCTTCCCAGCTGTGCTGGGTTTGGCCAGGGTAGTTAATTTTCTTCACAGTGCCTAGTAAGGGGCTATGTTACATTTACCGGAGTACTTGGGAACCTTTTTCAAATGCCAAAGAGGACATTCTCTAGAGACTACTTGTCTCCTATCACCTCTCCAGTGGAAGGGCTCATAAGTAGCTTTCATTGGCAGGAGAGTATAGCCAAAGATCAAGCAGTAGAACTGTACAAACAGCCTAAGCATCACATTCCACTTGTTTATACAAAGGTAAATGAGCACACCATTGCATCTTCTGTGCAGTCAAAAGAGGCAATAAACTATTCTTCAGATGTTATTATCTCTGAGAGGAACAGTACTGCATAGTGGGAAGTGCTGTCAGAAGTAAAAACAAATAGGTCTACTTGGATTTGACTGTTGATTTTTTTCAACAGTCAGGTTTTTGTAAGAACTCTCCGAAAGAGCTATGTTTGGAAGGATAGTGGCAGCTTGGCTTAGGTGACATTTGGATTGGTTGGACAACCAAGAGCCATTTAAGATTTATAAAAGAGACCTATAAAAGAGAACCTTTTAAAACACAAACTCTATGGCAGGCTTTCAAACTCTTCCTCTTTACAGCATCTACACCATACAAAAGGCATAGAATCTTTATAGCTTGATTAAATGTGAATGAATTTCTTCCTTGCTGAATATCACAGAGGAAAGCAGCACGCATTAATATTTCTACATCTAGTGCTCTCTCATTACCAAACACACTTGCATTTTAATAAAGTCTTGTTTCCTGCAAGACCCTTCTTCCACTAGTTGGTACAAAAGTTGTAGAGCCAGAATTATACCTCTTTTTACAAAAATATACTGCCAGAAGCCTGCAGATTTGAACTTTTTCTCTACTTCAGCAAAATAAATGCTTTAAAAGAAATAAGAGATAAAAGCTGCAATGCAGGAGTTAACTATCTTCACGTACTCTCCAGTACATAACTTCAGCATCAACAAACCATGCACAAATGGAGCACTACAATTCAGGATATAATTTGGTTCTTAAAACAGATTAGTGGGGGTCACAAATCCATCGTGTTTGGAGTTCTTTTAATTATCGATTTTGTGTGATGGTAGTACATCTGATGGTACCTGATTAAGGCTTCAATAAGCCTCATCAAGCCTTATCATTATGACAGCTGGTGCAGTCACCTGACCAAAACCTTGACTAACAAGTATGCAAGAAAATATAACCTACAGTGATATACCATCAACACATGCAAACAGATACTAAATCTAAGACCACCATTCCAAGATAAATTTAAGTCAAAACACAGGGGATGCTTTTTTAGCAAAAAACAAGCCAGCCCCCGGTTACAGCCCTGGGAATGCTGGCAGCCTCCCGCTCAGCCGGGCGGGCGGGATAGCGGGGCCCGCGCCGCTGGCACGTCCCGCTGCGAGCACGGCCGGGAGCCGGGACACGGGACCCGCTCCCGCCAGCTCGGGGGGCGGCAGGGCCCAGCACGCACAGGGCGCAGCCAGCCGGGGTCGGGCGGAGCTGCCTCCCCCGGGCCGCCGCAGGGCAGGGCGCGGCACCCCCCGCACGGCTGACCGGGACGGGACGGGACGGGACAGCGGAGCGGCTCGCACGGCGGTGCGGCCCCTCCGGCTCACCCCAGGCGGCCAGGCAGTCGATTTGCAGCGGCAGCTTCTCCAGGATCGGCACATGCTCGAAGGCGTCGTGCATGGCGGCGACCCTCACGGCCCCGGCTGCCACAGCGCCGGCGCAGGTAGTGCAGCACCGGCGGGGCGGGACGGGGCGGGGCGGGGGAAAGCCCCTACGGTAAGACCCCGGCGGAAGCGCCCGCGCCGCCCGATGGTTCCCCGCCCCTTCCGGCACCGCCCGCGCCGCCGCCGCTTCCGCCGAGGGCCCCGCCCGCGCTCCTCCCGCCCCGCTCGTTCCTCCGCCGGCCCGCGGGGGTCTCGGCACAGCCCGGCGAGTTCCGGCAGGGACAGAATGCCAGGGGCTGTCCCAGCGCCGGCAGCCCTACAAACAGGAGCGGCCCGCCCCGGGGCTCGGACGCGACGGGAAACGCATATCGGCACGGCCAGGATGCTGTCGCCGAGAAGACTCTTCTCAGCCTGGCAGGATCCTTGTGCAGCTTCATAGAGCCCCCCAAAAAAAGGGACTGGCTGTAGCAAACATCGTCTGCCCACAGCTTCAGTCTAAGAGGTGTTTGGTTTCCCTTGGCTTACACAAACCAGAGCAGGTAGGAAAGTCACATGGTATACAAGGGCCTGCATAACCTAAGGCAACCAGATGAGAAGAGCAAGGCATATCTTACAAGTAAATGTCTATTTTTGGAGGTCACCATTTCTACTTTAGCTATGAACTTGGCCAGTGAAGTTCAGACTCCAGGGGGAAATCTTTGTCACCGTGTCCCTTCCAGAACAGGCCACAGTTGCATTTAGTTCAATCATGGAGAGGTGCAACATTCACCATCACGGACGTAGAAACGAAACTAACTAAACCAAACTCAAAAAACTAAGTTCTGCAAGCATTTTCACCAACAGAGGCCACTGGTTTAGAGAACAGGGACTGAGTATGCTCTGTGCTGGGAGATCAAAGCACAGGAAGGGGAGAACAAGCATGGTGTTCTTGCATCCAGCTTCTTTCTGGCTCAGGAATAATGGCCAGTCTCTTCGCGAACATACTCTTCCCTACTCCAGGTCTTGTGATCCTGACTCACTGCCTATCAAGCCGGTGATTCTGTAATTCCTTTACCATGCTATGTGACCTCTTACTCAGTCCCTCCTTCGGAGTTCTCAGTAGGAACATCTTGTCACCCTAATGAAAAGCTGGTCAAAAACATCATCTGCTTCACTATGTTTTCAGTTTTCTGCATGGTATGCACATGCTACAATTGGAACAGTAGTATCACAGCTACTTCTCACAAACAAATCTATGCAGAACTAATCAGGCACAAGAACTCTTAAAAAACTCCTGACAGACATTTATTTTTTTCTTTAAGCAGAACATTATTAGGAACAGGTTGTTGAAGATATTTGAAGTCAGCAGCCAAATTTCCTAAAGAAAATTCAGCTTCTCCACATCATTCTAGTTAATAAAAACACTTGCAGATCTCAGACCTAAGAGTAGATCTTTTCTCCCTCCAGCTCACCAAGTTTTTCAGAGTAGTTTGCATGGTTTGTTTTAAAATTCCAATACCCTTCTGAAAGAATGGGTCTAAATTTGTATTGTCTTCCCTGTCTACATAATTGAAGTAACAACCTGCAGGATTTCTGGTTTCAGGCATTCTAGCAAGCTAGCTTGTTGAGGAAGCTTTCCTGAGCTTTTCCAAGTCACAGAGCCAACACATCTTTGGGACAAAACTGAGTGTCAGAAGAGGCAAAGATCCCCTCAGAAGAACCAACATACTTGACCAAACATGCTGTTGTGGGAGAGGCCACATTGCTGCAACTCCCTTGCACGTGCCCTCTTTGCTCCTCACCGACATCTCGTTCACTGCTTTTATCCATCTCTCCTGGAATCACAATTGCAGGAGCAGCTGTGCACATGCCAGAGCCCACACAATACTGTGGGAGTTGGGCTCTCACAACTTTTCCATAAGGCTACAAACAAGTCACAGCAGACACTTGCTGTAGGCTAGGAAGCAGATGCTACCTTCCAAGGATAGAGAAACTGATAAACAAGTGGAAAACAAAAAATGGATAACCAAGGGATCAACAAGACTCCCATGGACTTGAGGACAACTTCAGATACTGCTTCAGGTGTGTACAAGGATGGAAGGGTAGAAGGCAGCAAGGGCTGCCTAAGACCTACTACTGTAGTCATAGGTTGCATGCACCACACTTGCTACAACATTGATTTTAGTCTTTAAATTATTAATTTAGCTAGAGAAACTGTTTAGATCTTTTGTTCAGAAATTTATTAGTTGCTCTGCCTGTATTAGCTTTTCAAATGACAGATTTCTGCTCTATTGTCAAGCTCAACAAGGGAAAAAAAAAAGAACTGTTTGGAATAATTGAATTATAAATACTGTGCAATAAAGAGCTAAAATCAGGGAGCTGTGTAGATGTTAGCACTTCCTCCTGTGAGACAACAGGTAGTAAGAAAGTGGAAGGACACAATATAAGCCTTTCTCCTCTTTGCCTAGCCTTTATTAAATAGTACATACAAACTGTTGTGCTTCCAGTAGAGAACATTTTACCTATTTGGTTCAAAAAACCCAAACAACCCAGAACAATAGAATTAAAAAAAAAAAAAAAAAAAAAAAAAAAAAAAAAAAAAAAAAAAAAAAAATCAAAACAGACCCCCCTCCCCCCATTAAATAGCGAGCTTTGTGTAGCTTTATTTCACAAAATTTCCTCAAAAGGACATGGAGGTAACTTTTTTTTTTCATCTATATCAATTAAGCATAGCAAATTAGAAGTGTTTTTAATTAAAGGTTCTACCTGTGGCCTAAAGAAGAGCTCCAACAACTCCTGCAGAAGCAGAGTGAGCTGCTATAACCACAGCTTTTTCTTTTCCTCTGCCCATCTGCTGAGGGTTCACTGCTCCACAGCACACCTAGCAGAAGATACTATGTCCTTGTGCCTCAGCTACTCTACTGTAAAGTGCCACATTTCAGCTTGAATTGCTGATAAAGATGAACTATACCTAAGCTACCAGACCTTACAGTGGAATGAATGAAGTACAGGCACATGTTTATTTCTGCTGACACAGCTATGAGTGAAGAACCAGAAAAGCTTACTCCCTATGCCATTCCCGTGGCAGCCACATCTGCTCCTGAGCTATCCAGCTGCTGCTTGCCTGGTAATCATCAGCTGTAAAAGTTATGAACCCAAATTAGACCTTTTGTCATACAGTCCACAGTGGGTTTCCATGAGGAAGTTATTGCAAGTGTAGCTGTTACAGCCAAGCAAAAAATAAAAACAGAAAACCAAATGCTCTTTTTCATTTCAAAAAGAGAAACAAAATGTCATTATCTAGGAGTCTGCAACTTTGAAACACAGTGATCTCAGAGTACCTCTTGGCCATAGGGACCAATTGGGACAGGAAAGCTCATCATCAGATCACTTACATGGGAGCAATTCTAAACCGACACTGGGAACAGAATTATCACAGCATTGTGGACTCCCCATAAAGCCTCTTTCAAGTAAGATAGGCAGTGCTTGCACCCTCTAGAAAGCAATGCTTTCTTGTAGAAGAGCGCCAACTTCTTGGTGGGAGATGTCACGTAAAGGGAGAAGAGCTGTGCTGAGTCATCTAGTTAATATATGCTTAACATGTGTGGTCAAGCATTTTTGGAGTGCTGCAGGAGTGGTTTTGGTGATGTTTTGTGTTGTTATTTGTTGTTTTAAATTAAATCATGCAACACATGAAAAGGCAGGGGCAAATAATTTTTCCAGGCATCCACCACATTGCCGGCAATGAGATGTGCCACAACAGCAAGTGTTAGCTCTAGACAGCTGTTACCTATAGGTCAATGGCATTTAAAATAGAAAATCTTTCATACACAGTGTTATGAATAAAATTGCACTTGATTTTGTTAAAAACTCAGATCATTGTAACTTTTCCAAATATTTCTATTCTGGCATCTTAATTTTCTTCATCAACAGGAGCTTCTCTCTAAAACCCTCTCATGCATATTGGGCACATGACATACAACAGCAGTTGTATCTACCAGAAAACAGGACTGTTGTTTCTTCAGTGCTTACTTCTAGCTGTCCCCACCCTCCCCCCAAAAGGTACAGGCAGTTCACCTCTAGGTGTCAATTGTAACATTGAAATATAAACTCCTCAAGCAGACATTAGGAATTTTAGTTTCACAGATTAAATATTTGAAAAGTTACAGAAGGTGCTGGAATAGTACATATGTAAATTGCTTAAAAATCCAAACTTGCAGCAACTTCGTAAATTCAAATTTCCAAAAGGTTTATAATGTCCTTGTGAACTTCTTCCACAGCAAGACACCCTCCATGACAGTAAAGCAAACTTTCAAGGCCGAGATCAAGAAACAAATCAGCAGGATGCACTTGCTCCACCAAGCAACTTTAAAAGAGGCGTCTCCACTTCCAACAGCAAAAAGCTACTCCTTCATTCCATTTTGGACCTTTCAAAGTGTGTAATCATTCTTTCCTGGAAAAAAAAATAGCCAGTGTTGTCACTTCCCCCAGTAGATTTACCTTATTCAGAATGTGCACATTCACAACAAATGTAAACTCATACGCATTTTAAGTCAGGAGTCCAACTTATGCAGCAGATATAGCACTTTTCTTAGAATAAATATTTAGAATACATGTTTGTATTCTAAGAAGTTGTCCCTACTATCCTTCCCCCCCTTGTAGTATTTTACTGCTGCACTGACAAGATCCAAGTCCAGTTCTAATAAACCAAGTCCTCATCAGCTGACTCACGACTCCTTTGGCATGTGAGAAGACTAATTTGAACTGAAGACTTCTTTACTGACCTCATCTGAATCCAGAAGAGCTGGAAGAGCACTGCAGTGGGGGGAAAAAATAAAGTTAAAATGAATACATATTAAGAGCATACTATTGACAACTGTTTTCAACCTTAAGTTGCTTAGGGCACAGAAGAGCAACGAAGACAAACCTTTCAATTTAACAGAAATTAAAGAAAGATACACAAAAAAAGAAGAGCCCAAGGAGTATCCTCACCAACCTTTGCACCTTTAAAATTCTTTTTTTCTACAGTTCTCATTATCAACGGAATGATTTCCAAGTTTCCAAATAAGCCACATCCCTCATGCAGGAACACTGTTGAACTAACACTGAAGAAATTTACAATTTGGGATCATGTTGTAAAAACATGGCCCAGAAATCAAACTTCCACTGGTACTCCAGCCTTTCCAGCTATAACAGACATCCCATCTGTTGGGATCTTGTCTCTTCACAGCCCTGAACAGACTCTCAGGAACAGAATACCCTGCAGCTGAGAAACTTAAAGTGTCCTTTCATAGCTTACACCAGTCTAGTCCTTTTCTTTCTTAAGGAATTCTATCAGTCTTCAAAGAAATCAGTATTAGAACTGGGAAAACCAAATTCAGTTAAAAAAATGCACTTTTTCATCCTCTAGAAACTTAACCTAATTTCTTTTCTTTACCTAAATTCAAGCAAAGTTTTGTACCTCAATCCAGAGCCTCTGCCAAAAATACCTGTTCAAATTTGTGAACATAATTAGTCTGTGAACTTTGGTTTTGCTACAAAAAATGCAGACACTAACATTTTTAGGATTTAAAAGTTATTAAAAGCAGAATAGAGGTAGACAGCATACACAGCTGACTATACTGCCATAAGCGTAAAAATTACAACAGGCATTCCAAATAAAGTAGAAAACTAAATTACATTATTCTGTGGTTTACGTTCAGCAAGATACTCAACCATTTTTTTCAGAGCACTTAACAGGAAGAGGGAATGTTTGTTCTTTGTCTTCTAGATTTAACTTTAGTGAAGTGCAAAGCAGTCTGTGGTGTCCCAGATCGAGGCAGTGGTTCTTTAAGTCAGCATGTTCAAACCTGACAGACTGCATACAGCCAAGTGTCATCACACCAAGAAGTCAGAGGCCAGTGCCAGGCTGAGCCCAGTCTCTGCTCATGGAAGCACAGTGTACCAGTTATAAAGCATTCTAATGTATTTGTGTTCCTGTGGGCAAGGAACTTGCTTTTATTGTGACTATAAAAATACTCACACATCTGTCACTGATGAAGGAACATTCTCCTCTACCCACTTCAGGTCATCCTCTTGCTACAAATACAGAAATTAAACAGAAAACAAAAGTCAGTTTCCCCAAAATGCTGTCACATGCAAGGCTTTTTCTTCTCAACCTACTTGACAAAAAATAATGTATTTATAACGTCAGTTAAAAATTTAAACAAAAAACAAAAACCCAAACAAACAACAGGAAAAAAAATCTTCAATTTGATTTCTGAATTACAGAAAGCACATTCCAAAAAAAAAAAAAAAAAGGAATAAAGAAAAAACTTGCTGTGAACCTCAGGACACTTAGGTATTTACATAATCTATTTTTAGTCTCCCAACAAAGAATACTATCTTTTGAAAATGTTAATAGATGGAACAATATAAAAAGCACAAGCTAGATTTATCAAAGGTAAGTTAAACCATATTGTCAGGATTTCTCATTTCTGTCTGGTGAACAGTCTCTTAATTCACAACACAAGCACATTTGTTCTGAAGTTGTGGAATTGACCCTCTCATCGCCCTGGCTCTCAAAATAGAAAAGTTTGATTTTCATGTTATCCTCAGTTAAGTAGTACACAGCTGCAGTCAGCCTTTGAGAAAAACAATGTCAGTGACAAAAAATATGACTGCTATTATAATCAATTCCTATATGTTCTTTCCACTTCTAAGTTTATGCACAAATTCCATGAAAATTCCAAGGCATATTTTCTACCTCCTAGATGAATGTGGCTTGTAGCACATTATCCCGAAGTGTTTAGGCAGGTACATACCAATATCCACATCATCCCATTCAAGTAATGAATCACAAATCTCAAAACTAGAAGGCAATTTATTTAAAATACGGCTGAGCCTCCCTCTCAGACTGACAAACTTGTTAAAATAATGTACTACTCATTATCAGAATATTGTATTATACAGTTCTATCTATGCTGGATTGCACAAACATTCCTAAACTCAGACTGAATTCTGAAGTTTCCACTGTACTTAAAGGAAATCTGATGAAAAACCTGCATTTGCCTTCTTTTCAGAAGTACTGCAAACCTACAATACTTTGACTAACTCACACTGAAGCAAACCAAAAACCTCATTTATTGGCTCAAAACTTTGCAAAACTACTCAAAACTACTGTGAGCAAACAAAGAAGAGATGAATCTATATTCTTTGGGGTAGAGAGAGCATACTCACAGCTTTGTTTGCTTTTACATTCCCATTTGGTTCTTGCTTTGTACTTCTCATTTTCATTCCCTCTGAAAACAAAAGGAAAAAAATTGGGATAACTGAACTATAATTGTTCATAGACTCTAAGTGAAAGTGTTGAATCTTCATTTAGGATATTTCACCAGATTCAAAGAGACAGAATTAGACAAGTTAATGATTAGCAACAGCTTTCCCTTTGAAAGGCTTATAGTATTTTTTCCTGACAGGTGGAATACCTAGTTTTTCCCTGAATTTTACAATTTTACCTAGGAAATACAGAATTTCTAATCATTTTATTTAAGCCACACATCAGCAGCATAGAACTCTGACACAGTTACCCAGAGAGGCTGTGCAATCTCCATCCTTGGAGATACTCAAAAGCCATCTGGACATGGTCTGGGGCAACCTGTTCTAGGTAAAGCCTGCTTGAGAAGGGGGTTTGGACAGGGTGACCTCCAGAGGTCCTCTCCAGCCTTAACCATTCTGAGACACAGCCAACTCCCAAAGTGTATTTCACCTACTGGCTGCTGACCAACCATTTGGTTGACTTACAAACTGAAAAGCAACATGCATCTCCCAGCCTGATAGACAGCCAGGTAGAGCTGATTTGCCAAATGCACCTAATGGATTACACACTCCTCCTCAGCTCCCACACAAGGCACACAGCACCAATACATCCCAACATAACTGATCTGTGGACAGACAGCAGCAATAGGTATGTGGCCCTACCTTTTACACAGCTTATAAATAGAGGTGTTACAATAGACAATTTCATAAATAAACATTCATCCCTATGTTTACACTGGATATTCCTATGCTAGGCCTTAACATGGAAAATGAAGATTGCGGACTTCAGAGCACAGATAATAAATGAAAATTCTTAAATGGGATTTTAAAAGAGAACTGCACACTAAACCACTGTCTGGCAACAAAATCCAAGAGATCCTTCTCATCATGACTGGATTCAAACCTGAGACTTGACATATTCAATAAAACAAAGTCCACTCAACATAGCAAAGCAACCACAGCAGTAGCAGTGTTTCCAGTGTTAACCCCAGAATTAGACATTGGCAATGTAAATTCTAAACACAAAGCCAGTGTTTCCTCTACAACTACATGTATCAATGGAAATTGACTCCAGTTTTCCAGCAGTAACATTTTTTGCCAGAGAGCAAGACACCTTCCTCCACATAAGTGTCTCTTTGACATTGAAACTAGGTGGAAAAAAATTTTCTCTTACCAAAGCTTTCCTTTAACATTGGCTCTTTCTGCTCATCATCATCCTCTTCTTCTGACAGTGGTGAGAAAGCAAACCTTCAGGAGTGAGAGAATGAAAGCTATCTTAGAACTGTATCTCTTGCCTTTCAAGAGATCCATTACCCCAACATTCACATGACTTGAATATTCTGTGCCGTTCACTATTTTTAAGACTGATGCTAAACTACATAATCAAAAGTTTAAGTCATTTCTTTTTAAATATATTCAGCACCAGGACCAGACTGGATTTTATCTATGTGACTTCTCTATGTTTACTTTTCCTCAAGCCCCCACACACACTGCTTAGTTCCTTATGGATCAGTAAACAGTAACTAAAAATCACCCACCAATACTTCTTTGAATAAACAAGCATTCCCAAAAACCAGTATTTTAAGGAAAAGGTAAGACAAGCTGAACCTTTGGTTGTTAGCAGATGGTCTCCACAGAATCATGATGACAAAAAGGATCATTGAAAACAATAAACGCCAGATGGCATCATCCACCCATAGCTCCTGCCAGTCCTGTCAAGAAATATAGCAGCACAAATGGAAAATGTTGAGAAGCAAGAAATTCCATGTCCTCTTCTCTTTCCAAGGGTGAACTATAGGCATCTGTCAAACAGGCTCATTACTCACAACAACGAGAATTTTAGCATGTGGTACTATGTGGCGATCTCACTGCCAAATGTAAGCTTACCAAGAGGCAGCAACTGTAGAAAACACTCAATATAAACTCACCGACTGACAGTCCACCAGCCTGAACTTCATGGTGGTCCAGATGATAAATACAATAGATGCTGCAATATTCAAACAAACAAGTTGCTTATTACTACAAAATATGCCAATTCAAATATCCCACTAATTGGACTGTTTCCAAAACAAAGACCAAAAACCTAAATAGTGAAGTCTTGAAATCCAATTTAATAGTTTTGAAAAACATGAGATGGATTTATTGTACTGAGCTTATACAATAATTTAGGCACAGACCAGTATATTTTATGCATTTCTTCAGAGACACAAGGCATAAATCAAGTATTTAGCCAGCTCCTCACTCCTATTCATTTTTCTTACATTACTTTTATCTAGCCTCCAAACCATGGTTTCATTATCAGTTGACAAATACAGCTTACCTTGAAGTTACTGAGCAATCTGATCTGCTTGAATGCCTTAAGCATCCAGATCTTGACCCACAACAGTTCCAATGCTCAAACTATGCCCTTACCATAATTTTAGAACAGATTTCCCTCCACTAAGGTGCTCTGAGTTGACTAACAACCAGGTGCTGAAAGGAGTTTGAATCAGAGCTTTAAAAGGAATGTGCTTTTTTGCCTGATTGTTTAAATACAAGCACAGTCTTTAGAAGTTTTCTGCTCATTGTATTGATAGCAGAGCACCTGGAAGCATCAACGGATTTGTTCTTGAAGTTCAGTTCATCACTATTATAAAAGGAAAAAGAAACTGATTCTATATTCTTCCACAAAGAATCTATATTATTCCACAATACAGAGCACAAATGTGTAGTCCTCCAGAATACAGAGGGCTTTAAGTTACAATACTAAGAACACCTTTTTCAAGAATCACTCTGGTCCTTCAGCTATCTGGTCTTCAGACATCTTAAAAATGAGATTGTATACAGCAATACTGGGATTTTGGCGAAAAGTATCTCTGGGAAGTTAACAGCATAGGATAATCATCTTTTGCCCCAGCAGCTTCTAATGGGATTAAAGTGCTCCCTTAAAGGAGCTGCATTACTACTGATTTTATTAACATCAGGACTAATAATCCACTGTCTCTGAAATATCAACATAACACTTGGCAAAGACCCACTGTTAGAAATGGGTCAAGTGTTAAAAATACCAAGAACTTTGATTGTATTTACAGAAAGGTCACCAAACTTAAAGATTTGCTTTAGTGACCAGATCAAGCCATACACAGAAATGGAAAGTAGTCTTATTTGATGGACATAATTTTCTGCTTACCTGCTACTGCCAAGATGAGTGTGTTGGTGAAGTGCCGATACAAAGAGAGTTTCACAACATTCCTTCGAAGTTTTAGCAGCTTCATTGTTTGAGTTAAGCTGATGAATATGTATGAAAAGTCAAGGAAAAGCCTCTGAAGGGACAAACTGGTCACACATTTAACATAAGGAGACATAGATCTTATGATCAACAGCTCTCTCACCCCCATAGCCCTCCAAAAAGACCATTCTCAGTAGAAGAAAAGGTAGCAAAGGTACTAAAGAGCAGAATCAGTCCCTTATGACTGTTATTTAGTACATCTACACCTATAACTCTTGTTACAAAAAATGGTATCCAGGCCTCTATTTTGGGCTATGGTATATTCTCCAGAAAAGTGTCACTTGTACTTCTGATAAAATAAAAGTCAAATCTGAACTAGAAATGAGTTAAAATCCAAGTAATGTATACGCGTGCCATCACACTTTATTTTATTCCCAGTGACAAAACAAGTGCTTAGAAGAGACATCATGGTAGGGGAGAATTGTGGTTTTCATGGTTTGGTAGCAAGACATTCACATTTTAAATAGAGTTTTTGCTAAGAAATAAAGTGTCCAATAAGAACACTTTATATACACTATTTCAGTATTTAATGTCAACTGCTAAAGTCACACAAGATTATGGTTGCTTGTCAAGACACCAAAACACGAACTGCCCCATTTGGTCACCTACTTAAAGATTATTTCAGATTTTACAGAAAGACTTCTAGGTTTAACGTTGCTAAGCAACCTTCTCCCCAAACCAGAAACTGAGTCAGTTCTCCAGAGGCTCCTTCTCTGGTGCCATGACATGCTACACTACAACAAACTGCTTTCATACTCAACAATCAGAGACTGATAACAGACAGGCTATATTCAGGAGCAGCTTTAAAAAGATTCATTCAGTGCAAGAAAAACTAGGTAAGCAGTAAGTAGCAGGAGCTTACCTGAACACTCAATTAAAGAAGTTTTATAACCTTTACCAGAAGTAGAAAAAAACATATACTTGAAGCTTATTAAAAAAAAAAATTCAGCCAAAAAGACTTCCCAAAAAAAAAAAATTTAAAAGAAAACACACCCCACCAAGTAAAACAGTGAAGGATATCCACCAGCACAGGGCAGTATCTAGGAAAGCCAGGGGAATAAAAGCCAAGGAGGCAAGATCATTCTGGGCCTGGAGACAAAGAGAGAGCCAATAAGAACAAAAAAGAAAACAAGGTACAGAAGTGAGGAGGGCAAAGCTATTTTACATGAAACCACAAATACACCACCACAATGCTTCTGAGTTTTGCTACAGAAACAGAGGGCTTGAACCAAGAGTTTAGCCCAATGCACAGAGATGAACTGACAATACCACGCTGTCAGTTCCCAGTTCTCCACCAGCAAGGCAAGAAGCAGTTTTCCAGATTAAGTCAATCTAGCACTGTTAAAAGGAGTCTCTGCTGAGGCAGTTGCTGTGATTAATTGCTCTGGCCACTTCCATTACAGAAAATTAGCAATCAGCTTATTAAGAGATGTAGTAATTAAATCTTTACCCTATCCATGGACAAACTGAGAGCTCCACTGGCAATCCTGAGTTTGACTAAAGAGGCAAAACTTGCCTTTGTGTACATCAAAATCTATCAAAGTCCTAACAGAAACAAGCAAACCACATTTTATTCCTTCTAAGTGTAAGACAGAAATAATAAGTTGTGAATAAGCTTGTAGCATTCTGAAGTTTATAAAAGGATATCCACAAAATAATACAGGCATCAATCATGGACAGGGCCAAGTTTGCTATCAGAGCCACAGTGTCATAGAAAAACTGGAAAAGTACCAAATATGTCAGAGGTTAAAAACCTTATTCCAAAATACCAAAAACAGAACAACAGAAATCTACATCCCAAGATGCACTTCTTAATGAATCAAGGAGCAGCAGCATTCACATACTCTTCCCCAGCCACAGCCTCCAAAACTAGAGTGGTGGGGATTTGGGTTGTTTGTTGGTTTGGGTTTTGTTGTTGTTTGGTTTTATTTTTTTATTCTTAGGTAGGGTTTTTTTGACTCATGATCAGGTGACCCAAGCTGTACATTTGTGTCTGCAACTAGCCCTACCTAATCCAAAGTACTAGACACAAGGGTCCAGGCTGAAACCTGGCTAATCAAAAAACTAGTAGAATTATTTCAAAATATACAGAATTATATCCTACTAAATATAGAAGACATTGAACTTAAAATAATTGTCAGTAATCCACATCCACAGTCCCAGAATTTAACCACTTCATTGTCTCTTTCAGCATAGCTCTAGGATTCTTCCTTAGCATACAAGTAAATAAAGCCACTAGTGTCTTTGGCATATGGGAAAATTCAAGCAGTTATTACTGACCCCTGTGACTCTAAGAACACCTTCCATGCCAGAAAATAACAGATAAAGGGCTCCAGCCATAACTACTTTGTGAAGAGTAACTCCAAGGCGAGGCCTGTAGGAAAACAAAGTGAAATTCAGATTAAGTGGGGAACTAAAAGTGAAGTCATGTCAACTTGAGTCTAATACAAGGTATGAAGCACATGAATAAAATGTTTTTGTGCCAACCCACTTCTGGATCCAGAAATAATTTTATTATGGTGATCAAAGCGTACTATTAATTTTGTCTTATGGTATAATGTGACCAAAGCAGAGATTGGTAACAGCCCTGTTTCCTAGTTAACCTGCTTAGTATCTTACAACCATTTCAAGAGTCACAGACAGACAATATTCACCACCAGTTCCCCCAGCACACCCACACTGGCCAAAAGCTTCCACTACCACATTACATGTTGTTTTACCATTGAATATAGTTAAGGATGGACAGATGAGCAGCACTCCTAGCAACAAAAACCTCCTAAAGCAGATTCCCTCCCCTATCAGTGATTACTGACCTCCTCTAATTTCTAGAAGATGCCCTCACCCAGAAGGCAGGCACATAAAGCTCCCATTCCACTCAGTGGAGTATCTCAACAATGACTCAGAAACCCACCCTACAGCAGTACACAGAAATGGATGGAAGGAGGAGTGATAGCAATACAGAACTGTGTATCTCTGTTTACTAGTGAAGAAGTCTTTTTACAGCACTTAACTACAGCACCTACCTTTTATCAAGCAAAGTACAGGGAGATGAACACTGCCTTCAGTTATTAAAAACCAATAGTGAAAACCCCTTAAATAGAACAAAACAAACCTGTAACAAATTACTTACTTGACTATGCCATATCCCAGGCTGACTATGATGACCAGAGTTCGAGCCAATGAGCGCTTCACAGCAGAGAGTAGTTCTGCCAGTATTACTGCTCCTTGAACTACCAAAAGCAAAGAAGAGGAAGTTAGGTTATTACAATATAATTTCTGTTTTATTAACTACTGCATATGCAATTGTAGCACAAGAGCAGACATAGAAGGTAGGCTACTAAAGTGTATAATCTTTTTATTACCTACAGCTGGAGTAAGCTTTCAGAAAAGATAGGTCACTTGGCATTAAAAAAAACCTACTGAAAAATTTTACATCCATAGCAAGTGGTGAGTAAATGATCGATAAAATATTTATCCATAGGATCAGCCTGGATACTCTTCCAAACAAGTCAGCCAATAAAACCTTGTATATCACAGGTGTGGCCAATTAGCAAAGTCATAATGACATTTTACTTGCAGAGTTTCATTTTTCTGCATCCAGCCTCAAATTCAAAACCAGAGTACCCTATTTTTATGTGAAGGAAATCTCTCAAAATGGACTATCAGACTATGGGCTAAATACCAAGAGTTATCTACAATGCTGTCCTGTTGAATAAGGAGTTTCACAGTATCTTTCCAAGGCCAACACCAACTGTCAGAAATTAACTGCACACTATACTTAGGAAGTGCTATTTTAAACTTCAAGCCAGCACTACAGTGTATACTCTCCAGAACCTAGCATTCTACATACCTAAGACACTATGCTCGGGACTCAGACTAAGCAACAGCATTTTAGCTTTAGAAGAACACAGAGCATTGTGTTTTCAACATATTAAAAAATAGAGAAATTCTGGTTCTTTGTTCTTTGTTTTGAAACAATCCTCAAGTTATCATTTGCTTAATATGCATCTGTCACCCCAATTTGGCATACGCCATTAAACTGGGAGATGCAGCTGTCACCTACCAGATTCTCCTGTGTAGCGAATATTCTGGAATTCTGCATAGAAAACTGCTTTCTCGAGCATTCCCAGGAAAATAACAGCACCAATCCAGAACTGGATCCTCAGGAGATCTCGCCAGTAACAGGCTGACCATGCAAGCCATAGAACCCCGAAGAATACATACACAATACACATCACCATGAAAAACTATTACACAAAAAGAAATAAGAATTAGGAACTTTAGACCCAGAAAAATAATTTCCTTGTTTCCATTCCACAGCTTTAAGACAACTCTATTTTCTCCCCCAGTATAGCAACTTTGCAAGTTTTTAAATAGACTGTTTCATTTGTCTTCTCTGGATTCTTTGACAGTCTAATTTCTCACTGCCAAAGGGAACCAGAGTAACTGACTTTCTGAGCAATTGCTCTCTTCAACAGCAGTCTGTCAATTTATTCACAGGCAGCTTTTCTAGAGAACATATCATGAGCTACTAGATTTCAAAACCCCAGATAATAATTCAAGTAAATGATCAAGTACTAGAAACTCTACTCTTTTTCCCATATTGTTCTATTAATAACTTCATCATACATTTACAGTGTTCTGCAAATAAACTTACAGGTCACTTTTACACACCATTTCATAGAACAGAGATAAGCAATAAATGCTTGTAAGCCCTCTGTTCAAATAATTCAACAACTTTTCTTAAAAGTTAATTTCCAGCAAACTCAGTTTTTAACCAAGCTTTAGGTCAGCCAAAAACCTGGAACTGAGAAAGAAACCCAGCTATTCATTTAAATATTAACATTTTGTGCTTTTGGGGTTTTTTTGGTCCAGTGTTACTTGCTTGAGAAGAACTTTCATGGTACATCTACAGCAAACAATAAGCTTGACAATGCTACTCAATGCTAGATTTTCTAAAGGACAGCATCATACCAGAGCAAGTTAAATTTTCAAAAAGCACACTAAGAGGGATTAGAAGGAGAGTAAGACATTAAATGAATATCAGGAAGTACTTAGCCAAAGTATAGGACAGCAATAATCAAGCAGTCTCCTCTTCCAGAAGCAAGATTTTTTTTTTAAACCAAGCAAACACTGAAATTAGCTGCATTGAAACTTTCACAAACTG